AACCTACTATAGAATTTAAATAAGGTATTAAGATAATATTATTGAAAATGATAATTTAGCGACATTATCTTATACTCTTTGTTTCTAGAAATATATTTTTTCTCTCTCCTGTTTAAAGACTATTGACGTTAGTGTAAAGACCATAATTTTTGGAAGATTCAATTTGTTATATATGAATCGACTGTAGTATCTCATATCATAGCAGTGTCTTCGCCCTTTATAAGCTTTGTGCCTGTTAATTAATTTAACAATAAAAATCTATGTCAAATATACTCATAATCAGAAGTTGAAGGAAAAAATACGGCGCATATATATGCATAATATATCTACAATATATATACTCACATGCACAAACATGGATGCAAGAATAATTTGTTTTGTCGTTAAAAATGATGTAGTTTAGGGTGCACACGCTATAGAAAGAAACGATCAATATCACTTGCTACTAGGTTTGTAGTGCGAGCTGTAGCGATGAAATATCACTTCGCAATTATTGCAAATCGAAATATCAAATTTTGTGTTTTTGTAATACGTGAAGTGCTTCTTAAGCGTTAACGCAATGCTTACCTTTTATCTATTTTTAATTTCCCATATTGCTACTTTTATATTATTGCGAGTACAAAGTTACTTTAATACTCGAAGCGTATATAAATGAAAGATATAAGGACAAAGAAAAATGTATGCTTTTAACATTGGCTTCTGGGAGGATTGTAATCCGCTTACTAGCATTCGATTCATACAAAATCATAGTACTTATAATAATCTACATATATATATAGAATGACGAACGACTCTTCGAATGCTGAAACTCAATAGCGAGATCATTGTAAAAATAATTTTTTTTCTATTCACAATGTAATTATTTCTTTGTTACATCGTTTGCTACAACAATGTCATAGAAATGTGGGTAATGTAATAATTTTTAAAATTAATAATCGTTATTAACATTAACACGACAGAAAATTATAACCGATTCTTTGATGTATAATTATAATTGTACTATAATTTTCTATGCATACAATTTTTTCGTTCATTTTATTATTGATCAAGACATCGCAAATGATATCATAATTTTATTTTATATTATAAAAGGTCTCTCTTGTAAAATTGCATGACGCACTCTTTGAAAACAAAACAATAAGAATACACAAATAAAAGCAAAAGATAATAATAATCGACACACTTTTCTGATATAATCGACAATCATAAGCAACATTTTCATCTTTGGTATTTTTATTTTACGAAATGTTTTCACCATATTTCCTCTGAAATGCTACAACTCGTTGTTTCCATAAATTTTTAATGAACATGTTCTTTATAGATACATATTTATTTTTAATCTTATGTTAATGAAGCATTGATTTAATCATATCTTGTATTTTTCTCAAATTTATTTGTAAGTTAAAATTTTTTTATCTTTAATGATTTTGATAAATGGTACTATTTATCGCTTTAAATTTCTACAGAAAGCAGAGAAGTGTAGCACTACGATAAAATCTCCAACGATAAAATAACAACTTTTTTTTTCTCTATTCTTTAGCTCTTTGTCTCTTTAAGAAAAATATCAATTTTTGCATTCCTAAGACTACCATGCACCACTGTGTGTGTGTTTTGTATCTTAAAAATTATGTGTGCAATATAAGTTCTACTCATTATTGCACATGATTAAAATATATGATATATTACTTTATTCTTTATTATTAATTATACGAATTACATAAAACACGAAATTATAATTTTCTATAATTGGTATATATTTGCAATACTGTTGACATATTCGCGCTATAAAAGATTGAGTGAAAAATTATCTGTCCATAACTCCCGTGACAAAAACATGAAATATAAGGAATAAATGAATGTGCAATAAGTTAGAATGAGACATGTATATTTTGTCTCACTTTAACTTATTGCACCAGTGTGCACTAGTTTATTAGTGCAGGAACAGAAAACAAACCCATAGAATAAAATAAAAATAGTTACCATAGATTATTTAAAATTATGCTATTCAAAATTAACATGTTTTGTAGCGTCTGGAATTAGCATTAAAATAAAATATTTGTGCACAATTTGTTAAGTTAGACTAAATCATTCACGTTTTATAAATTAATGATCAACGAGAGTTCGTTTAATCCCCGACTAAATAGGATATTTTAAAACTGAATGATTTACTTATGAAATAAGATTATCATAACTCGTATCGTAAACTTCTCATATCTTCGTACTATTTCAACTTTTTCAGAATCTTACAGTGCGTTCCCATTTTCATAGATATAATTTACTCGTCGCCTCACCTATAAATCACTCACAAATTCTTAAAATTCTTTTTCGCAGAGTATATCACGTATATGTATATTTAAATAGATTAAATTGAGTGAAAAAAATATTTTTTGCCATCGTTCATATACAAACAGCTCATAGGAATCATATTAAGAAATAAGAAAAACTGTGATTAAGTTAATTAACGGAGTTTATTTTTAAATTACATAAAATATTCTTCTCACAAAATAAAGCTTTCGCAAGTGTATGTATGTTTTTTTTTGTATTTTATATACGTTCCCAATGACAATGAAAACTCTTTTCCCTCTTTTTGGGGGAGGTGCTAAATATTGCCATAGCGTGAATAATAATTGCAGAATTATTTGCACCTGGAATACGAAGAAAGTTTCTCTAGCCCTCCTCTCTCCGATCGATTACTTATTATCTCTCCGATATTCAACGCGACAGAAAATGGGTTGGAATTATCTAAGTATACACGCAACACCTGCTGATAATATCTCTCGTTCGGAAGGGCAAAAAAATAAAATTTTTTCTAAGAATTTTCTACACGCACGTTAACGTAAGTGCATGAGTAAGGTTTATATACGTCATATATTAATTTGAAATTTATGTTGCATCACTATATTTTATTATAATATTTAGATTACCGTAAAAACTTCATGATTAGAAAGAAACTCAAAGAATGCAATTTTGAAGCCAAGATGTGCTAATGAGCAAAAGATAATTAAAAAAAGTTTAACAATTAATTTTTAAAATAATTAGAGAGTATAAAAACCATAATTTGTAAAAAAAAAAAAAACAGAAATAGTCGATTAATATTTTCGAGAAGTTATGATAGGCTACGCTACAGAGTCAACTTCGTTGAGTTTAGTATAAAACGAATAGTACTGTATATGTAAGAAAAATGGTACAGCATGTGAAGAAACTATAATGAAAATGAGAAGAAAAAGAATTAATACTTGAAAAAATTACAAAAGAGAAAAATGGCATTATAGCGCAAAATAAAAAATATTAAGTAATTAATTTTGGCAAACTTTAATCATCAATATCAAATCAAACATCAAGAGAAATATTTAATTTGCCTTGTAATAATGATGACTTGGCGAAGTCGGTCCTAGAACGATTTGAAGCATAACGAAAAAAGTATATCAAAATACCGTGTGGTACGTTTTTCAGTAGAATGGTTTAACTAACTCTCTTGTGTTCGATCGATGTTTTTTTACTACAATATTTTTACAGCATGTAATCAAGGTAACATTTATGGTATATCTCTGGAGTTGGGGCAATCCACCGTTCGCATTTATGTTTTTGCGTCGAAGGGAACGACAGGAAGTTGAATTATCGAAATAGCATGTTATATTCACCTGATGTAGTTTTCCCAGGATAGGGGAGAAGGAGTAATATCCCTTCTTTTTTCTTTTTTTTTTTTGGCGCAAGCGCGATAGCTTTTCCAACAGCTTGCTGTGATAATTGTTAGTGTTATCCGTGATGTCAAGCAGCGCGTTACGATTGTTCTCTTAAGCGAGTATTTTTTTATGATGTGTATACGTGTGCGTTATATATATATATATCTGTGTGTGTGGTGTGTGTGTGTGTGTTATATTGTGGAAAAGTGCAATTATTAAAATATAATTTAATAGTGCAAATTATAATTTTATGGAGCAAATAATATTTACGTAAGTAAAATTGTCATATAAAAATATATATATTGGCAATAATAAATTTACATAAATACAACGATTTGTTTGCAAAGAATCTTCTTTAAAAGTTTTTTCTTGCTATTAAACGGCAATCATAAATTTTTCCTTCTATCAATAACAAATGTTTGCTTCAAAAGATACTTTCAATTCAATTTTACTTGAATAATTTAAAAGTATACTAAAAATTTTCATAAACGACATTTATTATAAACAATAAAGTTAATAACACATTAAAGTGATTAAGTACATAACATAGTTATAATCGAAAGAAATATAAGAAAAATACAAAATAACGCAGTAAAACACGAATTTATTTGATATATTCTTTAATTTTGTTTCGTGCAAAATGGCATTGTAATAGTCACATGTTTATACATGTTCTTATATATAAATAATTAGCTAATAAATATTTTTTTCATTATTGAGATATTTGCAATATTGCAATAATATATTTTAAATATTGCACTAGTCTGTTCTTACAAGCTTCTCAATACGCGTTATTATTGTATTATAATCTGATTGCTCCAGTTATAATTTAAGAACTTAAGTAACATATTAAGCAACATTATAGAAACTTTTGATGAAACTTTTAGATTTATCTATTTAAAATTTCCGCTACATATTTTTAAGCAGAAATTTTTGTAAACGAAAAAATGAATTTAAAATCTGAACAATAAGACATATTCGATCACCTCTTTCAACCGTCGATCGATAGATCACTATTTGCCTTATATAATTTAATATATTATTGCAAGCGATCTCAAGTAACCTTTTCTCGTGGAAATCGTGACACACTTGATTCCAAGCCGATATTATATTGACTTTTTCAATAATCTTGTGTAAATATCTACAATTGACTACTAACTGTTTCGTCGTATCATTTCTACGCGATCAGTGTGCAAAATAAATCACCGTAAAATAAGATATTGAGCTACTTAGCAGCTAGAATATATAAGTATACTTATTCATATATGTTTATTCATATTTTCAAAAAATTTTGAAGTAACGATAAATTATGTACATATAAGTATTTTGTGCGATTACGTTATCGAGGCGAAGCTTTCCACAGAGGCGGCAAAAACACCACCGACAATGAAATAGTAATTCTTCGTACTTCTCTGCATTATTAGGAACAACAATTTTTGTGTTTTCAACGAAACCGTGTACCATCGCGTGGTATATCTAAGAATTAATTAAAATAATTAATCCGCCTGAATAATCATGTGAAAATAAACGAGTGATCCCTCTTGCTTATAAAGTTTTAGCAAAGTAATGCACATATGTTTAAGAACATAAACAAGACATTTCGAGCTTTATTAGGTTCTCCGTAGTTATCTATTATTCTGAACCAAAAGTTGATTACTTACGTTGTCTTAAAAACATCCGTATTATGATCTGTGATTAACTGACCGTCCAAATTACTAAAGAATAGATAGATAAGATGAGCAGCAATAAGTATTATGCATTCTAATACTCCGTTCATATCGTTCAACATCAGAAGATGCAAAAGCTGTAATATAAAATTCGTTTTACGAAAAAATTTTTGGTTGTTTGATTCTATATGATTTATATAAATATATAAATGAATAATTCGACGTATTTTGAGATATAAAAAATAATTGAGAAAAAATAGACTAAGCAGACAAGATTAGTGTATATTTTCCTATGTCATATATCTATCATATATGCGAAAAGTTCGAATATTAATTACATTATTCAAATCTTAAATTCTTGAAGATATGTTTTTTACACACACAACATATTAAAACATAAAATAGTTGAAACGTGTACTCACTTGAAATAAGTTAATAGTTAATGATGAGATGCCTACACCAATTAAAATTAAGTATATAATCATAAAATTGGATAGCATAAATTCGGCAAATCTATTGTCGGAAAACAAAAAATATGAAAAATTACATAATTACATAGTATTCGTCTGGTAGACTTTTTCGATTTTTTTGGTGTTTGAAATACTAACTCAATCGCTCTTCGATGAATGTCAACGGCATTAATTATTCTTTTTTGAATAATGTGATCTCTGTTAGCACTTAATGTCGGAGATATTTTATCGGTCATATGTTCAAGACGATAACTGCACAAGGACGTATATAGTTTTCCATATAATTTATTTATTGAAAAAAAAAAAAAATTTAAATTTTACACGCTATATACAAAAAATAATAGCAATTTTCAACCAGATTGTTTACGATCATGTGATGGTTCATTCAGTCAACTAGAGTTTTGTGTTCATTATTACATTAATATAATACGTAATATGAACAGAGATAATTAAAATATTGGATGAATGAGACAACATAATGTGATTTTGTGCACAATTGTTTTCAGATTATTAAATTATTTCGTATATGGCTTACTAATTTTCCTAATTAATACTAATTAGAATTGTATATACATAGATGTGTTATTTTATATGTTTCATTATATCAAATAATTACTGTTAATTTATTTTATATCAAATATATAATCAAATATACAATACAATAAATGAGATCACTGGCGTTTAATAACTGAATCATTTTATAACTTTTGCTTGCAATTCTTACCTTGCTATTTTTAACATTGCGCAAATATGCAATGAATATTCTGCAAGCATACAACCAGTAGAGATTACTGCAATAGATCCCGCGGAACAAGCCAATAGACCATGTATTAAAATAGGATAAAAGTATCGTTTCTGATCGACAAAATATTCAACTGAGTATACGAAACTATGTTCTCGAGAATAGTTAAGCGGTATAATGACATCGAGAAAATTTGACAAAAATTGAAACACAATGAAGAACATCAGACAAAAACATGTAAGCACTATAAAACGTAAAAAGGAATATAATATTTTAAAATTTATATTTCATTTATATTATATTTAAAAAATTTACTTTTTGTTATATTTTTACTACATAAAACAATATCGTAATCGCATATATTTTCCATGAATGAGAGATACAATATAATAAAAGTTAAATTGAAAACAGAATCTGTTTTTATGTTACTAATTGTAAGATATTACAAAATGCGTACATTTATTCATTATTCATTTAAATATACCAGAAATTTTCGACACACATTATAAGTAATAAAGCGAATGAGACATTAAAAGGCAAACGCCATAGTTCTAGAATCGAAATAAATATTAGAAAACATACAGCACAGTAAATGCTTGATACATTTTTTATTTTGTCGTGAAATGCGATTGTAACAGATTCAGACAGTTATATTTAATTTCACATATAAGCAACTAGAAAATATTTTTCTCCTTGATTATCGATATATTTTTAACAACATATTTTAAATATTGCATTAACTTTATTCTTACAAGTTTTTCACGCTACATAATTTAAGAATTTAGAATGATATTATATATTAAATGATATTTCTCTTTTAAATGCAAATTTGAAAAAAAATTTGTAACTTCGTTTATTCTTCCGTTATTTCGCGCACAAAAAATTATGAAATAGGATATATGTATATATATAAATGTATACTCAGCACTAAAAAAGATACATCTTTTATTTAAACGCATATGTTACGTTACGTGCAAATTGGCATTCACACTTATTACCATGACAAAAATTTTCAAAAAGATCTGACAAAAAATTATCGGGAACTATAACAACTTTTGTATCATACTATACTAGGAACAATATTATTTTTTGAACTCTAAGCGGCTGATTATATTTTGTCTTAACTAAATAAGAATAAATAAATGGTTAATAAAAAATAAATATATATATATATATAACTAAACTAAAGGTTTAACAAGATACTCTTAATCAATTAGCAATATAATGATACTTTTTTCTAATTAAAAAAAACCGAAGAAAAAATAGATTTTTAAAACCTATTTCTTATAATGTATTATTCTTTTAATTTATTCTTTTAATATATATTATACATACATTTATTTCATATATATAAAGAATATCATCTTCATAATCAGATACAAACATTATATAAACACACAATAATTCATTCAGTTTCAAACAAAGAGTGATTAAAGAAAGATTAAAGGAATAAGTAGAATAATGTATTTTAAATAACGACATAAATCATTTTAATTTATATATAGGTATATGAGTGTGTGTGCGTGTGTGTGTTGTGCGTGTGTTTATAATTATTTTTATGTATTTCAAAATCTCATTGCATTAAACACAAATGTATTAAAATGATGAAAAAAAATAAAAAAAACATTAAAAATCATCAAAAATTATTTATTTTACATATGTCCAATATGTACGTCTTATATCAATGCAAAATATTTTCTTATTTTTTCACGTGCATTTAAGAAAAAATAAAAGTTCATATTTGAACAATGTTCTTTCTGTTTCTTACTGATTGTGAGCAGAATACATCACGGTGACATAAGACAGCGCATTATTTAGAAGCTAGAAAAACATTTTTAATATTGTACACATATTAACAAAAATCTGTTGTTTTTCTGATTTTAGTGCTCCTTACCGTGGTAAAATTTTCTATCTTTCCCACAAATAAGAAACCGAGTTTTAAATTAAATTCTTTGCCAGCTTTTTGCATTAAAAACAAAATTAGTTTTTGTGATGGTACAGGCATTAAGTACCACGACGTATTGTATCTAAAAATCGGAATAAAAATTAATAAATAGTCATTATTTATAAAAAATTTTACGCAAATGTATACTTATTTTGAAACAATTAAAAAAACATTATATGAAAAACAAATTGGATTTCACTACTTAAATATGCAGATGCATTTTTAAGTTATAACATACTATTTTCTATTGACTTCCCGCGATATAGAAATTAAAAAATTTATCAAAATTTTTACTTTAAAAAATTAGAAAACTTAATAGCTCTTGTATCCTTAAAAAAATAATTATTTTTATATTCTTTATATTATTATATAATTATATTATCATATTGAATGGTATTAATGTATATAAATACTTATTATATGTATATATATATAAATAAAAATACTTAATACTTACATCATCCTAAAAATCTCATTATTGTAATCTATAATTTTCTGTCCGATATAACTTGCCACAAACATGTAAAGTAAATGGATTACAGTAATAAGAAAAGATATTGCTAGGTCGTCTATATTTTTTGTAGTTATCGCTTCAACAAACTATTATTATCATATTAGAAATCATAATTAATCGAATTCAAAATGATGTAAACTTGCGATAATTTATATATGTATATATACATACACTCGTTAAAGTAAATTTACTTATGTATTTTATATATGTATATGTACATATGTATATATGTATGTCAATAAATAAATTATACCTACTCTAAATAAATTGACGCTTAATGAAAATACTGCAATTATAGCTATAATGCAATACGGCGCATTAAGTGATAACATCATATTATCGGCGAATCTTAAAAAAATGACGAAATTATTATTTCTGACACACATGCACACACACAATAGAGAGAGAGTAAGAGAGAAGGAAACGAAACTATTGTAAATTATTGATTACTAAATAGATAAAAGAAAAAAAAAAGCTAAATGTTTTTAGAATGTAATTTATTGCGAAACATAATTAACGTTAATATTGATATTTGCGTGTTTAGTTGGATGTTTAGTTAAAAAAAAAAAACATAGAATGCATTTTTGAGAAAATATTTTATGAATTACTAAAAATGCATTAAAAAAACATAATACGTATACTAACTTCATAGCTTTACGATGTGCAATTACGACCTGCATTATGCTTTCACAAATTGCGCGTTCTTTTTCCATATTTGACATGTATAGTACGTTATCCTCAATGGAATGTCTTATTCGATGACTGCAAATATTTTCAAAATTAATTCGTGAACGCAGCACCGATATTAATCGATCGTTACCTAGCAATTTTAAACATCCCCAAAGAATGTATGATAAATATCACTAACTGCGTTGCCGTAGCTAATATTATTAACCCATATAATGAAGCAATTATGAGTTCATGCAACGCTTTGGTGAAGAAGTATCGTTCTTGCGAGACAAAATATTCCATCCTAATAATAAGTTTGAATGGCCGTGGTTCATCCAATGGCAAAACAATATCGAAAATCATCGGATAAAGTTGGAGAAATATTATAACGATTGCTGTAATACTAGCATACACTGTAAGACGTGTGAAAAGGATAAAACTATTTTCTAAACATAATAAATAATTTAAATTATATGCATATTTTTCGTGAGCAAGACAATTTAATTTTCATTAGAGATAAATTATATGCACTTTGTATTAGTAGCTATAAATAACTATGAATAAACTTCATGATATTTTTAAATATTTGTGGAAGCGCAGTTTTGTATTATATCTAATATGATCCTGATTTAATATCAATTTTAATTTCAGAAACAAAAGAAATAAATTATCTTTTTGCATATCATGTCAATTAAAAAATATCATAAATTATAAAATATATAGTACTTAATTTGAAGAGGAAAACGTTTAGCGAGACGCTACCGCGTCTCCTGATAAGTATTTTTTAAACATTTGTACGCTATTGCTACTTTAATGACACACTATTAAATATAGAACCGTATTAAAAATGTAATACTCTCTTACAGAATATAAGGGTAATATAAAATTGACCATAATGAGCATATTTCTGTATAATCTCACTTTCAATCTTATTTCGTATTATTTTCCAGTCTTCCTGAATTTGATAGTGTAGATTCCTTATCTGATTCAAATGTTTATTGATTTAGTTAAAGTGTTAGATATAAATTTGGCAGTGAAATTTATTGCTTATGCGGTATAAACTTACATTTTTTGATTTCAAAATGAAAGTAAAATATTGTATTATAATTATCGTAAAAGGAAAAACAAATGACATAGTTTTGATGAAGAGAGTCAGATTATATCTTGATGTAATGAAAACTAATAACTGAAAATAATTATATATAAAAGTATATCGCATTTTGTTATTATGCATAAACGATTTCAATAGGCTAACACTTCTTATTATAATATTTATAATTTAAAAAATAATTGTTGAAAAATATCTTGACATGTTAACAAGAAGCTATATAGCATTGAACATTATAATTACTACAGAAATATGGATCTATTATTACCTGCATGCAAATATATGTTGCAGTTAAAATAATGATTAGTACTCGCTGCAATAGTACGAGTCGCGATTTATCATGAGGCCAGATACCTAATGCTTTAAGAAGAAGTATATGTAACACAATATAGTAATGCTTTTCGATTATACGCATGTTGCATTAAAGACAAATAAAAAGATGTAACTGAACAACAAAGTATCAATGCGCAGAATTTATATATGTCCCTCCTCTCCCTATCATTTCTATTCTTTTAAATTATCTAAGGAATATGGCAAATAATAAGATATATTTTTGCAAAATAACCGACACTTGATATAATGTGCATTGAAATTATTTTGAAAGAAAAGTCATAGTTAGATCGATATTATTCTATAGCTATTTATATGTATATGCTACAACATATTACAAGAGAATGTAAACTATCCCAATTGATGTCTAAAACTTCTATTCGCTCGGGAAGCAAAAGAATATTACTTTATATTAAATTTACATATTCAATATCACTTTCTCTTATTTTTTGACGCATATGCGCAGTAATGAGTGCAAATATCGAACGATGCATCAGTCTTCTTTCGAACGTTACGTTGAGCATATCTATTCGTGAAACGATGAATGCGCTGCACTAATTGTAAGTATAATAAGTTTCTATATCTTATCATGTTTTTATCGGTCTAGTTTCAATATGGATATTACAAATCTTCTTTAAGCTTTCAGACTGATTTCGATATTGTTAAATCAACAACAATAAAAAAAAAGAAAAATATGAAAAATATACGATTATAATAAAAAAATTACAAAAGTAATATAAAAAATATATAAACAAATTACATAATTACTTGTAAAATGATTATATTTCATACATGGGATATCTATCACATACAATAACGATATAAATGCCATATATTTTGAAAATACTATTATTTTAGAAAAAATATAAAATAAGGATATTTATATAATTTTGTATCATTTTTATGTAGTTTAATCGTGACTGAAATATGTCGTTTCATTATCGATATCGATATCGTAATAGGCACAAAAGTTCGAACTTTTCATTCATTAACTATATATTAAAGTTTATACTATTAGACCCCCCCCCCAGAGTCTAGAAGAATCTACTTTTTTCTTTATCTAGGGATTATCCGTTTAACAGATTTACATATAACTAAAAAAATTAGTATACGTTTACTTCTTTATATATACATACATATTTGTTTATACTTATATACATACATACGTATATGTGCGGGTGTGTTTCATATATGAATATGTATAAAGAAATTAATCTTCAAATACTAGTGTTACATAAACAAATAATAATTCATTCAGTTTTAAACAAAGGATGATTAAAGGAAAATTAAACAGGAATAAATGAAATAATGTATTTTAGGTTGACATGAATAATTTTAATTTCTATATGTATGTAATAATATATAATTATTTTTTATATACCTATATTGCAAAATCTCTATATTAAATAAAATGCATTAAAATGCATTAAAAAAAAATGATGTGTTATGTCAATGCAAAATACTTTTTTATTTTTTTACGTGCGCATCTATGGGAAAATAGAAGTTTATATTTTAACAGTGTCCTTTTTCTTTTTCTTACTGAACAGAAAACATCACAGTGACATAGGACAGCGCATGATTAAGAAGCTAGAAAAATAGTTTTAACATTGTACACATATTAACAGAAATCTGTTGCTTTTCTGATTTTAGTCCTCCTTACCATGGTAAAATTTTCCATCTTTCCCACAAATATTAAACCAATTTTTAAATTAAATTCTTTGCCAGCTTTTTGCATTAAAAACAAAATTAGTTTTTGTGATGGTACAGGCATTAAATACCACGACGTACAGTATCTAAAAATCGAAATAAAAATTAATAAATAGTCATCATTTATAAAAGACTTTTCGTAAATGAACTTATTTGGGAACAAAAACAAATTGTATGGAATACGAATTGGATCAATTTTATGATTAGTAATGACCGAAAAATCATATATAGGTCAAACTAAACGACAATTAGGCACACGAGTAAAGGAACATTTTAATAACATCACGGTACATAGTAGTAATTTTTCGGTCATTACTAATCATAAAATTGATATGCGACATGATTTCAATTGGTCTTCGCCCGAAATTTTACATCATGAAAAATATGTTAGAAAACGAGAAATAGCGGAGATGTTTCTCATCAAGAAATTTGACAATAATATTAACTTACAAAAAGATACTGATAATCTAAACAATGTCTACGAAAAATTAATAAAGGTCGTTTAGTCTGATCTAGTATATAAATAGTTTCGTATTGACATATGAATATAGTTAGTTCGTAACACATTATCATGACAGTACATCACGTCATGACCTAAGATCAAATAAGTAGTGTTATTACAATAATGCGGTATTAAGTAGGTTGGTATATTAATATTTAAGCACCTAATTTGTATTAATCTGTAATATTATTAATTTAATTATATATCAATTGTTATAGCACTTGATAAGGGCCGAAACCCATGGCCGAAACGTCGTGAAGTTTAATAAATAGTATTTATAGCCAGATATGGTTGACGAAATTATTACCATTTTTAATTATTGACTGGTGACTTCTTATATAGTTCTTTATATATATAATTTAATACTTACATCAACCTAAAAATCTCGTTGTTATAATCCATAACTTTCTGTCCGATCAAACTGGCCGCAAACAACACAACTAAGTGAATCGTAATAATAACAAAAGATATTCCTAGGTCGACTGTGTCTTTTAAATTTATCGCTTCAAGAAACTATTATTATCATATTAAAAATAATAACTTATGGAATTCAAAATGGAGTAAATTTACGATAATGTATACATATAAATATATAAAAGCACACAAAATTTAATATATATATCATTAAATAAATTATACCTACTCTAAATAAATTCGTGCTCAACGAAAGTACTGCAAGTATAGCTATTATGCTAACTGGCACATTAAATATTGAAATCACAACATCGGAGGATCTTAAAAAAAATTACAGAATTATTATTTCTGGCATATATATATATATATATATATATATATATATAGAGAAGAGAGAGAGAGAGAGAGAGAGAGAGAGAGAGAGAGAGAGAGAGAGAGAGAGATAGAAAGAGGGGGAAAGGGGATGGACAAAACTATTGTAAATTTGATTTATAAATAGATAAAAGCAAAAGAAATACAAATGATAAAGCAAAGCTAAATGTTTTTTCAATGTAAATTTTGAAAGCATAATTAATTTTGATATTTATATTTGTGCGTTTAGTTCAAGAAAGTCATATAAATTGCATTTTTCAGAAAATAATTTTATGAATTACACAAAAAATGTATAAAAACATAATATATTTACTAACTTCATAGCTTTGCGGTGTGCAATTACGATTTGCATTATGCTTTCGCAAATTGCGCGTTCTTTTTCCATATTTGACATGTACAGTACGCTATCCTCTAGGGAATATCTTACTCGATAACTGCAAATATTTTTAATATTAATTCGTGATCGAATCGCCGATATAAATCGATCGTCACCTAGCAATTTTAAACATCCCGATAGAATGCACGATAAATATTAACATTTGCGTTGCCGTGGTTAACATTATTAACCCACATATTGATGCAGTTATGAGTTCGTGCAATGCTTTGGTGATGAAATATTTATCTTGTGGGACAAAATATTCCACCCCAATAATAAGTTTGCATGGTCGTGGTTCATCCAATGGCATAATAAGATCGAAGATTATCGGATAAAATTGGATAAGTACTGCAGCAATTATCATAAAACAGGTATACACTGTAAGATATGTGAACAGATAAAACAAAAATATTTTGTGAACATATATAATAATAAATAATTTAAATTATGTGAATTTTCGTGAGCAAGACAATTTCGTTTTTATAAAAGACAGATTATATGATACTTTGTATTAGTAGCTACAAACAATTATAAATAAACTTACTGATTTTTTCAATAATTATGGAAATGCAGTTTTGTATTATATAATGTGATCCTGATGTAATATAAATTTTATTTTCAGAAAATAAAAGAAATAAATTATCTTTTTGCATTTATATCGATCAAAAAATATCATAGATTATAAAATATATAAATAAGCACTTTTTAAACATTACTTATACATTATTGCTATCAAAGATTGCTACTTTTATATTACACTATTAAATATAGAACAGTATTAAAAATTTAATACTTTCTTACAGAATATAAGGGTAATATAAAATTGACCATAATGAGCATATTTCTGTATAATTTCACTTTCAATCTTATTTCGTATTATTTTCCAGTCTTCCTGAATTATATAGTGTAGATTCTTTATCTGATTCAAATATTTATAGATTTAGTTAAAGTATTAGATTTCAGTTCGGAAGTGAAATTTATTGTTAGTGCAGATAAACTTACATTTTTGATTTTAAAATGAAAGAACAATACATTATTGCGACTATCATAAAAGGCAAAACGAATGACATAGTTTTAACGAGGAGAACCAGATTATATCTCGATGTAATAAAAACTAACAACTGAATATAATTATATTAATTGGAATACAATTATTAATTGTATTAAAAGTATATCCTATTGTTATTGTTATGAATAACAGATTTTAATGTGCTGACTTCATATTATAATATTTACAATTTAGAAGATAATTTTTAAAAAATATCTTGAGATGTTAACAAGAAGTTATATGTCATTGACTATTATCATTAATATAAAAATCGATCGATTATTACCTGCATGCAAATAAACGTTACATTTAAAATAATAATTAGCGCTCGTTGCAATAGTAGAAGTCGCGATTTATCATGAGGCCAGATACCTAATACTTTAAGAAGAAGTATATGTAACATAATATAGTAATGCTCTTCGATTATACGCGTATGTTGCATTGAAGACAAATAGAACCATATAACTGAACGACAAAGTATCAATGCGCACAGTGCTTAGATATCGTAATACTTATATCTTCCCTTCTCTATATCGTTCCTATTCTTTTAAATTATCTAAGAAATATGGCATATAATAGGATATACTTTTGCTAAATAACTAATACTTGATAAAATGTGCATTGAAATTATTTCGAAGAAAAGTCGTAGTTAGATCTATATTATTCGATGCTATAATACATTATTAGGGGGAAATGTAAATTATCCAAATTGATGTATAAAACTTCTGTTAACTCCAGAAGCGAAAGAAAATTATTCTACATTACATTCACATATTTTACATCACTTACTCTTATTTTTTGACGCATATGCGCAGTTGCGAGTGTAAATATCGAACGATGCATCAGTCTTCTTTCGAACGTTACGTTGAGCATATCTATTCGTGAAACGATGAATGCGCTGCACTAATTGTAAGTATAATAAGTTTCTATATCTTATCATGTTTTTATCGGTCTAGTTTCAATATGGATATTACAAATCTTTTTTAAGTTTTCAGACTGATTTCGATATTGCTAAATCAACAATAAAAAAAGAAAAATATGAAAAATATACGATTATAATAAAAAAATTACAAAAGTAATATAAAAAAATATATAAACAAATTACATAATTACTTGTTAAATAATTATATTTCATACATGGGATATCTATCACATACAATAACGATATAAATGCCATATATTTTGAAAATACTATTATTTTAGAAAAAATATAAAATAAGGATATTTATATAATTTTGTATCATTTTTATGTAGTTTAATCGTGACTGGAATAAGTCGTTTCATTATCGATATCTTTATCGTAATAGGCACAAAAGTTCAAACTTTTCATTCATTAACTATATATTAAAGTTTATACTATTAGACCCCCCCCCCAGAGTCTAGAAGAATCTACTTTTTTCTTTATCTAGGGATTATCCGTTTAACAGATTTACATATAACTAAAAAATTAGTATACGTTTACTTCTTTATATATACATACATATTTATTTATACTTATATACATACATACGTATATGTGCGGGTGTGTTTCATATATGAATATGTATAAAGAAATTAGTCTTCAAATACTAGTGTTACATAAAGAGATAATAATTCATTCAGTTTTAAACAAAGAATGATTAAAATAAAATTGAACAAGAAGAAATGAAATAATGTATTTTAGGTTGACATTTATAATTTTAATTTCTATATGTATGTAATAATATATAATTATTTTTTATATACCTATATTGCAAAATTTCTATATTAAATAAGATGCATTAAAATGGTAAAAAAAAATGATGTGTGTTATGTTAATGCAAAATACTTTATTATTTTTATTTTTTTACGTGCGCATCTATGGGAAAAGAGAAGTTTATATTTTAACATTGTCCTTTTTCTTTTTCTTACTGAACAGAATACATCACAGTGACATAGGACAGCGCATGATTAAGAAGCTAGAAAAATAGTTTTAACACTGTACACATATTAACAGAAATATGTTGCTTTTCTGATTTTAGTCCTCCTTACCGTGGTAAAATTTTCCATCTTTCCCACAAATAATAAACCAATTTTTAAATTAAATTCTTTGCCAACTTTTTGCATTAAAAACAAAATTAGTTTTTGTGATGGTACAGGCATTAAGTACCACGACGTATTGTATCTAAAAATCGGAATAAAAATTAATAAATAGTCATCATTTATAAAAGACTTTTCGTAAATAAACTTATTTGAGAACAAAAAACAAATTGTACGGAATACGAATTGGATTCTACTACTTAAAAATGTAGATGCATTTTTTAGTTATAACTGCTACATTTTCTATTCACTTTCGCGACATAGAAATAAAAAATTTATCAAAATTTTTACTTTAAAAAATTAGAAAACTTAATAGCTCTTAAAATAATTATTTTTATCTTTAAAATAATTATTTTTTTATTTATTATATTGAATAGTATCACTTATTATATAAATAAAAATATCTAATACTTACATCAACCTAAAAATCTCGTTGTTATAATCCATAACTTTCTGTCCGGCCAAACAGGCCGCAAAAAACACAATTAAGTAAATTGTAATAAAAATAAAAGATATTCCTAGGTCGACTGTGTCTTTTAAAGTTATCGCTTGAAAAAACTATTATTCTCATATTAAAGATAATAACTTATGGAATTAAAAATAGAGTAAATTTACGATAATGTATATATAAATATATAAAAAAACACAAAATTTGACACACAAACACACACACACGCACGCACACACATATATATATATATATATATCATTAAATAAATTATACCTACTCTAAATAAATTCATGCTCAACGAAAGTACTGCAAGTATAGCTATTATGCTAACTGGCACATTAAATGTTGAAATCATAAGATCGGAGGATCTTAAAAAAAGTTACAGAATTATTATTTCTGATATATATATATATATATATATATATATATATATATATATATAGAGAGAGAGAGAGAGAGAGAGAGAGAAAGAGGGGGGGGGAGGACAAAACTATTGTAAATTATCGATTTATAAATAGATAAAAGCAAAAGAAATATAAATGATAAAGCAAAGCTAAATATATGTACAATGTAAATTTTGAAAGCATAATTAATTTTGATATTTATATTTGTGTGTTTAGTTCAAGAAAGTCATATAAATTGCATTTTTCAGAAAATATTTTATGAATTACAAAAAAATGTATAAAAACATAATATATTTACTAACTTCATAGCTTTGCGGTGTGCAATTACGATTTGCATTATGCTTTCGCAAATTGCGCGTTCTTTTCCCATATTTGACATGTACAGTACGCTATCCTCTAGTGAATATCTTACTCGATAACTGCAAATATTTTTAATATTAATTCGTGATCGAATCGCCGATATAAATCGATCGTCACCTAGCAATTTTAAACATCCCGATAGAATGCACGATAAATATTAACATTTGCGTTGCCGTGGTTAATACTATTAACCCACATATTATTGTAGTTATGAGTTCGTGCAATGCTTTGGTGATGAAATATTTATCTTCTGGGACAAAATATTCCAGCCCAATAATAAGTTTGCATGGTCGTGGTTCATCGAATGGCAAAATAAGATCGAAGATTATCGGATAAAATTGGATAAGTACTGCAGCAATTATCATAAAACAAGTATACACTGTAAAACATGTGAACAGATAAAACAAAAATATTTTGTGAACATATACGAGGTGTGTTCAAAAAGTATCGCGAATTTTGTGTTTTTTCAAAAATTATTTATTTATTCATGAATATCTATTTTGTCCCCTTCAAAGTAATCCCCACCAGATATTATACACTTGTGCCAACGTTTTCCAATCCTCGAAGCACTTCAAAAAATCATTTTTTGTGATCTTGTTCAGCTCCTCCTTCGATGCCGTCTTTATCTCCTCAATCGTAGCGTAGCGTCGTCCTTTCATGGGCCTCTTCAGTTTCGGGAACAAGAAAAAGTCACAGGGGGCCAGATATGGGGAATACGGTGGCTGCGGCATTATTAGTGTGTTGTTTTTGGCCAAAAATTCGCGCACAAGCAACGATTTTTTGGTACGAATTTCGCGGCGACCCGTGTCATGCCCAAATCATTGGTAAAAATCGAATGGCACGAGCCAATCGATATGTTTAGGTCCTCAGCAACTTCTCTAACGGTGATTCGACGATTGACCAATACTATTTTCTTCACTTCATCAATGTTTTCGTCTGTTGTTGACGTGCTCGGGCGTCCGACACGCTCTTCGTCGTTCACATCTTCTCGGCCCTCGGAAAACATTTTGTACCACCAATAAACGGTTGCTTCGGTCCAAGGTAGCTTCACCATATGCCACAGTCAACATTCGGAATGCGTCCGCGCACTTAATTTTGTTTTTCACACAAAATTTGATACAGATTCTTTGATCCATTTTTTGGAATAGGCAAAAATCGAAGACGAGCCAAAACACGTGCAAGCAAAGCAGCTGTCAAAAATTAACTGAACATTCAAAATGGCCGTACTTGTCGGCATAAATGAGAAACATGAGTACCAACATAACGCCACAAAAAATCGAAAATCGAATATACGTAACCCGCGGAAATTCAAAATTCGCGATACTTTTTGAACACACCTCGTATAATAATAAATAATTTAAATTATGTGAATTTTCGTGAGCAAGACAATTTCGTTTTTATAAAAGACAGAATATATGATACTTTGTATTAATAGCTAGAAACAATTATAAATAAACTTATTGATTTTTTCAATAATTATGGAAATGCAGTTTTGTATTATATAATGTGATCCTGATGTAATATAAATTTTATTTTCAGAAAATAAAAGAAATAAATTATCTTTTTGCATTTATATCGATCAAAAAATATCATAGATTATAAAATATATAAATAAGCACTTTTTAAACATTACTTATACATTATTGCTATCAAAGATTGCTACTTCTATATTACACTATTAAATATAGAACAGTATTAAAAATTTAATACTTTCTTACAGAATATAAGGGTAATATAAAATTGACCATAATGAGCATATTTCTGTATAATCTCACTTTCAATCTTATTTCGTATTATTTTCCAGTCTTCCTGAATTATATAGTGTAGATTCTTTATCTGATTCAAATATTTATAGATTTAGTTAAAGTATTAGATTTCAGTTCGGAAGTGAAATTTATTGCTAGTGCAGATAAACTTACATTTTTTGATTTTAAAATGAAAAAACAATACTGTATTGCGACTATCGTAAAAGGCAAAACGAATGACATAGTTTTAACGAGGAGAACCAGATTATATCTCGATGTAATAAAAACTAACAACTGAAAATATAATTATATTAATTGGAATACAATTATTAATTGTATTAAAAGTATATCCTATTGTTATTGTTATGAATAACAGATTTTAATGTGTTGACTTCATATTATAATATTTACAATTAAGAAAATAATTTTTAAAAAATATCTTGAGATGTTAACAAAAAGTTATATGTCATTGACTATTATCATTAATATAAAAATCGATCGATTATTACCTGCATGCAAATAAACGTTACATTTAAAATAATAATTAGCACTCGTTGCAATAGTAGAAGTCGCGATTTATCATGAGGCCAGATACCTAATACTTTAAGAAGAAGTATATGTAACATAATATAGTAATGCTCTTCGATTATACGCGTATGTTGCATTGAAGACAAATAGAACGATATAACTGAACGACAAAGTATCAATGCGCACAGTGCTTAGATATCGTAATACTTATATCTTCCCTTCTCTATATCGTTCCTATTCTTTTAAATTATCTAAGAAATATGGCATATATTAGGATATATTTTTGTTAAATAACTGATACTTGATAAAATGTGCATTGAAATTATTTCGAAGAAAAGTCGTAGTTAGATCTATATTATTCGATGCTATAGTACATTATTAGGGGGGAAATGTAAATTATCCAAATTGATGTATAAAACTTCTGTTAATTCCAGAAGCGAAAGAAAATTATTCTACATTACATTCACATATTTTACATCACTTTCTCTTATTTTTTGACGCATATGCGCAGTTGCGAGTGTAAATATCGAACGATGCATCAGTCTTCTTTCGAACGTTACGTTGAGCATATCTATTCGTGAAACGATGAATGCGCTGCGCTAATTGTATGTGTAATAAGTTTCTATATCTTATCATGTTTTTATCGGTCTAGTTTCAATATGGATATTACAAATCTTCTTTAAGTTTTCAGACTGATTTCGATATTGCTAAATCAACAATAAAAAAGAAAATATGAAAAATATACGATTATAATAAAAAAATTACAAAAGTAATATAAAAAAATATATAAACAAATTACATAATTACTTGTTAAATGATTATATTTCATACATGGGATATCTATCACATACAATAACGATATAAATGCCATATATTTTGAAAATACTATTATTTTAGAAAAATATAAAATAAGGATATTTATATAATTTTGTATCATTTTTATGTAGTTTAATCGTGACTGAAATATGTCGTTTCATTATCGATATCGATATCGTAATAGGCACAAAAGTTCGAACTTTTCATTCATTAACTATATATTAAAGTTTATACTATTAACCCCCCCCCCCCCCCCCCGAGTCTAGAAGCATCTACTTTTCTCTTTATCTAGGGATTATCTGTTTAATAGATTTACATATAACTGTAAAAAAATTAGTATACGTTTACTTCTTTATATATACATACATATTTGTTTATACTTATATACATACATACGTATATGTGCGGGTGTGTTTCATATATGAATATGTATAAAGAAATTAATCTTCAAATACTAGTGTTACATAAACAAATAATAATTCATTCAGTTTTAAACAAAGAATGATTAAAGGAAAATTGAACAGGAATAAATGAAATAATGTATTTTAGGTTGACATGAATAATTTTAATTTCTATATGTATGTAATAATATATAATTATTTTTTATATACCTATATTGCAAAATCTCTATATTAAATAAAATGCATTAAAATGGTAAAAAAAAAAATGATGTGTTATGTCAATGCAAAATACTTTTTTATTTTTTTACGTGCGCATCTATGGGAAAATAGAAGTTTATATTTTAACAGTGTCCTTTTTCTTTTTCTTACTGAACAGAATACATCACAGTGACATATGACAGCGCATGATTAAGAAGCTAGAAAAATAGTTTTAACATTGTACACATATTAACAGAAATCTGTTGCTTTTCTGATTTTAGTCCTCCTTACCATGGTAAAATTTTCCATCTTTCCCACAAATATTAAACCAATTTTTAATTCAAATTCTTTGCCAGCTTTTTGCATTAAAAACAAAATTAGTTTTTGTGATGGTACAGGCATTAAATACCACGACGTACAGTATCTAAAAATCGAAATAAAAATTAATAAATAGTCATCATTTATAAAAGACTTTTCGTAAATGAACTTATTTGGGAACAAAAACAAATTGTATGGAATACGAATTGGATTGTACTACTTAAATATGTAGATGCATTTTTTAGTTATAACTGCTACATTTTCTATTCACTTTCGCAACATAGAAATAAAAAATTTATCAAAATTTTTACTTTGAAAAATTAGAAAACTTAATAGCTCTTAAAATAATTATTTTTTCATTTTATCATATTGAATAGTATCACTTATTATATAAATAAAAATATTTAATACTTACATCAACCTAAAAATCTCGTTGTTATAATCCATAACTTTCTGTCCGATCAAACTGGCCGCAAACAACACAACTAAGTGAATCGTAATAAAACAAAAGATATTCCTAGATCGACTGTGTCTTTTAAATTTATCGCTTCAAGAAACTATTATTATCATATTAAAAATAATAACTTATGGAATTCAAAATAGAGTAAATTTACGATAATGTATACATATAAATATATAAAAGCACACAAAATTTAATATATATATCATTAAATAAATTATACCTACTCTAAATAAATTCGTGCTCAACGAAAGTACTGCAAGTATAGCTATTATGCTAACTGGCACATTAAATATTGAAATCACAACATCGGAGGATCTTAAAAAAAAATTACAGAATTATTATTTCTGGCATATATATATATATATAGAAAGAGAGAGAGAGGGGGGGGGGAAGGGGATGGACAAAACTATTGTAAATTATTGACTTATAAATAGATAAAAGCAAAAGAAATACAAATGATAAAGCAAAGCTAAATGTTTTTTCAATGTAAATTTTGAAAGCATAATTAATTTTGATATTTATATTTGTGCGTTTATGTAGTTCAAGAAAGTCATATAAATTGCATTTTTCAGAAAATAATTTTATGAATTACAAAAAAATGTATAAAAACATAATATATTTACTAACTTCATAGCTTTGCGGTGTGCAATTACGATTTGCATTATGCTTTCGTAAATTGCGCGTTCTTTTTCCATATTTGACATGTACAGTACGCTATCCTCTAGGGAATATCTTACTCGATAACTGCAAATATTTTTAATATTAATTCGTGATCGAATCGCCGATATAAATCGATCGTCACCTAGCAATTTTAAACATCCCGATAGAATGCACGATAAATATTAACATTTGCGTTGCCGTGGTTAACATTATTAACCCACATATTATTGCACTTATGAGTTCGTGCAATGCTTTGGTGATGAAATATTTATCTTGTGGGACAAAATATTCCAGCCCAATAATAAGTTTGCATGGTCGTGGTTCATCCAATGGCGAAATAAGATCAAAGATAATCGGATAAAATTGGATAATTATTATAGCAATTATCACAAAACAGGTATACACTGTAAGATATGTGAACAGATAAAACAAAAATATTTTGTGAACATATATAATAATAAATAATTTAAATTATGTGAATTTTCGTGAGCAAGACAATTTCGTTTTCATAAAAGACAGATTATATGGTACTTTGGATTAGTAGCTACAAACAATTATAAATAAATTTACTGATTTTTTCAATAATTATGGAAATGCAGTTTTGTATTATATAATGTGATCCTGATGTAATATAAATTTTATTTTCAGAAAATAAAAGAAATAAATTATCTTTTTGCATTTATATCGTCCAAAAAATATCATAGATTATAAAATATATAAATAAGCACTTTTTAAACATTACTTATACATTATTGCTATCAAAGATTGCTACTTTTATATTTCACTATTAAATATAGAACAGTATTAAAAATTTAATACTTTCTTACAGAATATAAGGGTAACATAAAATTGACCATAATGAGCATATTTCTGTATAATCTCACTTTCAATCTTATTTCGTATTATTTTCCAGTCTTCCTGAATTATATAGTGTAGATTCTTTATCTGATTCAAATATTTATAGATTTAGTTAAAGTATTAGATTTCAGTTCGGAAGTGAAATTTATTGTTAGTGCAGATAAACTTACATTTTTTGATTTTAAAATGAAAGAACAATACAGTATTGCGATTATCGTAAAAGGCAAAACGAATGACATAGTTTTAACGAAGAGAACCAGATTATATCTCGATGTAATCAAAACTAACAACTGAATATAATTATATTAATTTTAATACAATTATTAATTGTATTAAAAGTATATCCTATTGTTATTGTTATGAATAACAGATTTTAATGTGCTGACTTCATATTATAATATTTACAATTTAGAAGATAATTTTTAAAAAATATCTTAAGATGTTAACAAGAAGTTATATGTCATTGACTATTATCATTAATATAGAAATCGATCGATTATTACCTGCATGCAAATAAACGTTACATTTAAAATAATAATTAGCACTCGTTGCAATAGTAGAAGTCGCGATTTATCATGAGGCCAGATACCAAATACTTTAAGAAGAAGTATATGTAACATAACATAGTAATGCTCTTCGATTATACGCGTATGTTGCATTGAAGACAAATAGAACGATATAACTGAACGACAAAGTATCAATGCGCACAGTGCTTAGATATCGTAATACTTATATCTTCCTTTCTCTATATCGTTCCTATTCTTTTAAATTATCTAAGAAATATGCCATATAATAGGATATATTTTTGCTAAATAACTAATACTTGATAAAATGTGCATTGAAATTATTTCGAAGAAAAGTCGTAGTTAGATCTATATTATTCAATGCTATAGTACATTATTAGGGAGGAAATTTAAATTATCCAAATTGATGTATAAAACTTCTGTTAACTCCGGAAGCGAAAGAAAATTATTCTACATTATATTCACATATTTTACATCACTTTCTCTTATTTTTTGACGCATATGCGCAGTTGCGAGTGTAAATATCGAACGATGCATCAGTCTTCTTTCGAACGTTACGTTGAGCATACAGGGTTTGTCCGGAAAGTAATGCGTCGCATTTTTTGTGACGCGACTATACATCGCAGAGCGATGGGACCGGTTGGGGAGGAAGGGGGGTACCCTTAGCTTTCCAACGGTAGGTCGCTCAATGTTTCCATGCGCTTGGAGGGTTAGGACGGCTTATTCTGTGAACCTCTGCTTAGTGGTCGCGTCGAACTTGTGATGGAGAGAACGATAGAGCAACGCTATGCGATAAAGTTTTGCGTGAAGCTGGACAAGACGCCGCTGGAAACTTTTGAAATGCTCAAGAAAGTTTTCGGGGACGATTGCCTTTCCAAATCGCAGTCAAACAGATGGCACAAGATGTTTAGAGAAGGTCGGAAGGAGGTCGCCGACGAGGCCCGCGCAGGACGCCCGTCAACATCGCGAACGGACGACAATGTGACTCGTGTGCGCCAATTATTGAATTCAGACCGTCGAATGAATGTTCGCTTAATGTCGGAATTATTGAACTTGCCGAAACGATTGTTCACGAGATTGTATCGGAAGACTTGGCCATGCGAAGATTTGCGAAAACTTGTGCCCAGAGTGTTGACCGATGCGCAAAAGCAACACCGAGTGGAAGTTTGTGAAGAACTCAAGCAACTCTGTGCAGATAATATTTCCTGAACAACGTTATCACTGGGGATGAGTCATGGGTCTTTCATACGCTCAAAGGACAACAGCTCGAGTCGGTTGACAACGTACAAGCTACTTCGACGGCCTCCCTGAACAGCATCCCAGTCAAGGAGTTCCAGAAATCTTATGACGCATGGAAATCGCGTTGGCAAAATGTATTGACGCAGAAGGGTCATACTTCGAACAATTTTAAGTTGTTTTACCTATGCGATCAATAAATTCTTTTTTAAAAATGCGACGCATTACTTTCCGGACAAACCCTGTATCTATTCGTGAAACGATGAATGCGCTGCGCTAATTGTATGTGTAATAAGTTTCCGTATTTTATCACGTTTTTATTTTTAAATAATTTTTGAATTTATACGAACCTTTCAATTTTTTATTTTACTTATTAAATGATTATATTTCAAACATGGCTTATCTATCACGTATAATAATGATATCAATACCATGTATTTTGTTCATATACCTACTATAATTTCAAAACTGCACTAATATCTGTTCAGAAGGATATTTAAATAATTTGTTATTATTTTTGATATTATTTATTAGTGAAATAAGCCGTTTCATTATTGATATCGTAATAGGCAAGGCAGTTTAAACTTCCCATTCATTAACCGTATTTAAATTATAGTGTTAGACAACTAAGAATTCTTTTTATTTAAGGATTATCTGTTTAACAGTGTTGCATGTAAGTGGTATTAAAGAAATAGTATACCTATATCTTGGTGATGCACATACATATTATGTATACATTATACATATATATACGTATATATATATATATATATATATATATATATATATACACACACACATTCAATACATACCATATTCAAAAATATTTATAATGTATACATTTATAATACATATATATATTGGATTATGTTAATTCAATAAATTACTTAATTGATAAATACATTTTTTTCGCTATCTATTTTATTTTCTTGTAGAATATATCTATTTTATTTTTTTGTAGAATGCATTACCATGAAATAGGATATTGCCGCATTAGTAAGCTGAAAATGGAATAATAAACTGCTCATTAAATCCATATTAAAGTTCGATTATTTTATTGTAAAGAAATTTTAATTTTACCGAAGCAAAACCTTGCAAAGATACTATATACATGCCACCAAATATTAAAGTAACGTCTTTATATCCTTTTAGCATTATAAATAATAATAATTTTTGTATACGCAATGGTGCTGTATACCAAAGTCCATTATAACTGCAATTTTTTAAATGCTAGTTTAAAACCAATTATTGATTAATAAAAAGTTAATTGCGAAAAATTTATGCGATATAATTTAATGTTAGATTAATGGTTACACAAATGCTATGCATTTCGGAATGCGTGGTATCGGAATAATAATACAATCAGTTTAAATTAAATAAAAGCAATATGTCTATATGAAAATACATTATAGGATAAATATAATTCTACTTCTGTAATACACGATATACTCACGTTACTTTGAACAGTTCCTTTTCATAATCTGTCATTTTTTGTCCGCCATAATTAATAATAAACATATAATTTAAATGTACGGCAATAAGAAGAGGGATTATATATGCATCTTCAGTCCTATTGTCTATTAATGTTATCTGTCAAAAAATTGCGAAATACATATTTAAAGAACAAAATCAAAAGCATAGGATAGAAAAGACACTTACTTGAAAAAGATTGATACTTAAAGAGCTGACACCAACAACGATCAGAATAGCGAATAATACCGTAAAATTAGATGTAAAAAGTTCGGCAAATCTTTAACAAAAAAAACTAAATATATTGGAACATTATCAATATTAAATTGAGTATATTTATATTTTGATATATATCTATTCAGTAACAATAATTAATGTATCTCTATATAAGCACTATATGTAATGTAATTTAACCGTATATTTATTTAATACCAACAAACTGCCTGAGATTTTACATTTTATTAAGATATATTATGTTGTCAAGCTTGTGTGAAAAGAAATTATAAGTCAAATTATAAAAATTATAAATATTCAAATAAGTACTTATAATATACATGTAATTTTTGTGTTTTTGCTTGATTTTAAATTTCAATTCGATTTTTATTTAGAATTTTATTTTCATAGATATATCAAAGATATGCGATTAGTAATACAAAAATATACGATAGAGATAAGGGTTTTTTTAATAAATAAAGATCCATTTTTAAGAAGTAGAAAGATAAGATGCAAAAAGAAATTGTAATAAAAATGTAAAAATATACTGACTCGATTGCCTTTCGATGAATAAAAACTGCATGTATAATCCTCTGATAAAATAGATACTGTCTTTCAAAAATTGGAATCGTTAACGCACTTTTCTCGATAGCATTTTCCATTCGATAACTGTATTAATTAATTAATTTTTATTAAAGTATATTTCTGATTTTGAGACTATTCAAATAGTAATTGCACTTACCATGCAATTTTAAATAGTGCACATGAATGCCAGATAAACGTCATCATTGTTATTAACGTACCACACAATGTGATCTCTGCTACGAAACATGCTAATGCCTCGTGAAACAATATAATATAAATATATTTGTCTTGATTGATAAAATATTCCGTAATCACAATAAGTTGAAAGGATCGTGATTCGTTTAATGGCAATATAACATCAAGGATTAATGGCAAACATTGAAGTGTAAATAATATAAGTGAACAGGCACAAAGAACCACTGAAAATTGTTAGATCTAATTTAAATTCAATTACGGAAAGTTTATACAGAAGAATTTTAAATACATTCCCTGCCTTCACTTTTACTGTCAATCCGAATGATTTGTTACATTAGTAAAAAAGATTAGCAAAATAAATTTGTTACATATATAGTGTATGTGTGTGTGTAGAAAATATAAAGTATATATATATATATACATACACACATATAACATATTCTACATTTATTTTGCTAATCTTATATGTATGTATATATATATATATATATATATATATATATATATATATATATATGTGTGTATGTATGTATGCATATTATAGAATCTGTATTTCATATTTTTACCTATTGAAATTATTGAAGAAAACCATATGCTGTGAGCGTATTTTTTTATGATGTCAATTTCCACTTTATCTTTCAATGACTTCCAATCATCTCGAATACGATCCAGCATTTGTTTTACCTATTTATTCCATTTTCTCCTTTATCAATAGTTAAAAGACAATTTATTTTATAAACGTTATACATTTGAATAAATGATCTATTCTGTTAGACTTACACTATCCGCTTGAATAATAAAAAGACAATATTTTATAGTAACGAAAAGAAAAGGAAAGACTATCGACAAAATCTTGAGGAGAAGATATGCATTGCACTGCGTTGTAACGAACACTAGCAACTTGAGAAAAAATAATATCTTTAGTATTAATTACAATCTAGTATATAGAATAAGTATGATCGTAAATTATTTTGACGTAATACCGAAACAATTTGTATAAGATAAAACTTATTTTAAATATGTATTATAAAAGACAAGAAAGATACAATCCAAGCTAAAAAAACCTTTATAAAAGGCTCTTACATAAAGTTGTATATTATAATTATTATTAATACATAACACAGCAGATATATTAGCAGATTAAAAAACATGAAGAAAGATATGTTTACCTCAATGCACGTTAAGATACATCGCTATGTGTAAATATGACTATAAAAGTAATTTAACAGTACGAGAGTTGAAAATGTTAAAAAATGTTCGACCTTATTGTTAGATAAGAAAAAACTGATTTAATTCAAAATCTAGATCTATTAAAAAATAGATTTTTTTCTCAATTAACACACACTCAGTTAATTTCTCCCAGCAGTGATTTTATAAATATGATTTTATGAATAAACTATAAATATAATTTTAATAATGTTTATTAAATATAAATAAGTTAATTTTTTTAATCATCTAAAATCGGATATTTTGATCAGTACACATATATACCTGGACAAGAATAAATGTTAAAAGAACACTGGCAAAGAATGCTTTTTGTATTTGCGTGAAATATGATTGCTGATAAGGCCATATACCAAGCACCATAAGGACTATTTGATTGATTTTGTAATAGCGTTCTTCTGTCGCCTGCATTTTACGCGAATTGCGATATAACTGTGAGGCAAACCTAATTCTCGAATTATTTCTTTTAAAATTCTCTAACAATTTCCAACAATCGATATTTTCGCGCGTTAGTAGTTAGTGTAAAGACGGGTATATTCACCAATTGAGAGTAATTTATTCATGATATATAGATGGAAGTGAATTACTCCATATTATCTCAATTTGTGAGAGCAATATACATTTTTAATACGTACCTATGACTATTTTTTTAGGAAAAACGTTCAGTATCTTTCAGTACATTGCAAGAAGCATTACTCATTCATACACTTTGTATCTATACAATGTGGATTGTATTTAAAAAAATAAAAGAAAACATTTTTTCAAAAATAATGAGTTTACACTCATCCATTTAACATGTATAAGTGTATTAATTAAAAAATATTAAAAATTATTTATAAAATAAAAAGTTTTACCGTTATAACAAAGTGTAAAATGTGCGATTCGGTATACGAATATTATTTCAGGTAAATATAAAATATTGACGCAAAAAATAATTTCTTTTCTTTAATACATATTTTGTATTATTAGACAATGTTTATCATCGATACGAATGCAAGATACGGTATTTAATATAGCAAAAACAGATGCTTAATTTTTATGAAACTTTCAATTTTTTTTAATACAACCGTAGGACTGTAGATAAGTGATAATGCGTGACACTTTGCTTTGACAGTAATTAATTTTTCTCGATGGCATTTATTTAAATTGCTGGAAAATTTTTTTGTCACATTAAGAGATAATATAATACTCTAAATTTCATACTTGATACACATACATAGCGGCACGTATGCTATATGAAAGAAAAGACTTTTTCTTATTCATCAAAGACTGTGTTGATCGAGTTTAATAACAAAATAAATCTATTGTGACAAGTGTGTACATGCAAGTTCAAGATCTCATTGCATTCCTATTTCTATTAAACTACACAAAAACGGCAAATCAACATCAATATTTGCAATTAGATGGATAACATAAAAATAAAAAAAATAATAAAATAAAATTTTGAAAAATATATGACTAAAAACAATTATTAAATTATATGTATATGTAACAACTTATTAATTAAATGTATTTCGTTCATGTTATTATTATTTGATAACTCATCTGTGATTAAAAAAAACCATTTTGAAGTTGGATGTATCATTATCGATATGTTCTTCTCAATTCGAGTGAGCTTTTATCCCTTTGAAGATGTGTATTTATTAACATTGACTTGCAATGTAAGACTAAAAGAATATAAGTATATATTGTATACAATATTAAATTCCAATTTTGTAATGTATATGCATGTATACATATATACACTTATTTAGCATGAGTATGTTAATTTAAACATTCATCTAATAAATAATAAATTATCTATCCTAGTTATATTTGCGTTATAGTCCCGTAGAATAAATCACTGTGAAGTAGGATACTGCAGCATTTACAAGCTGAAAAGACAAATACACTAAAGTTCTTGTTGAATCTTCGCTAATTCAATGTATTTTGTTAATTATATGTATAATATTTTGTCCTTAAAAAAACTTAATTTTACCGAAGCAAAACCTTCCAAGGAACAAATAAGTGTGTTACCATATCCTACATGGATACTGAACGATGCATTCTGCATTACAAATAATACCAATTTTTGCGTATGTAATGGTGCTGCATACCACATTCCATTATAACTAGAATTTTTAAATATTCAAGTAAAATAAAAGTTTTAAACTAGCAAAAAAAGTATTGTAAACGTTTTTGCGATATAATTAATGTTAAATTAACTGCTCATTTAAAAATATATTTAAATCAACTATCAATTTAAATCATATTTAAGAGATCTATTTGCGAGACTCAATATATATATAGTCATATAATCTGAAGAAATAGCTATAATTCTAAAAGTATTATAAAATATGATACTTACGTTCCTTTGAACAGCATTTTTCCACGATCTATTAATATTTGTCCCACATAATTAACGAGGAACATATAAGCCACATGAATAAAAATCATCGCACCATGCAACAATGAATCTAAGATATTCTTATTCGTTTTTATCAATCGAAGAAACTACGACAAAATGCTACTTAAACAGAAATCAATTAAGCATCAATGTAGAAAGAAAAGGTATTGCTTACTTGAAAAAGATTTAAACTTAAAGAGCTAACACCAATTACGACCAAAAGAGCGAAGAATGTCATAAAATTAGATTGAAAAAAATTAACACACCTTTAATAAGATATTAAGTATTAGAATTGTTATGTTATCAATAGATAGGCGCAAACTTCGATATGTTCAATAATTTGTGCTCCAATGTATGTATGTGTGATAAATAAAAACGTGATTATAATCTCACGTTTAATCTTCACGGTGAATGTTTCATTTCACGTATTTTCAATAAATATTGTGTTCTTAATAATCTGTATATATTCATCAATTCTTACAATAAAGTATATATCTGTTTAATGCATTCCCAACTCTTAATGTACTTAATTTTAAATTAATGTTCATCAAATTTTATTTGTTGGTTTACTTAAGACAAAAATATATAAATCACCATTTGTAGTATTAAACGTGTGATAATAATATAATATTTCAAAATAAATCAACCGCTTTTAATAAATAACAAATACCAAGTATAAAATGCAAAAGTTGTATAACAATAAAAAAAATTCAATACAGACTCGCTGGTCCTTCGATGCAAAATAACAGCCTGTATAATCCTTTGGCAAAGGAGATACTCTCTTGTAGGACTAGAGTTCGCTAATATACTCCATTCAATCGCGTTCTCCATACGATAGCTATATAAATCTATTTAGGCATATTTCAGTTTCAAAAATAAAGACAAGCAAAATTAACAGTACCTTGCGATAGTAAGTAGTGCACTCATGTGCAGGGCATACGTTATTATTATCAAAGTAACGCTACCCAATGCAGCTATTGCTATAATTAGGGTTAATATATAATGTAACAATATAGCATACATATATTTTTCTTGGTCGATAAAATATTCTGTGACGAAAATAGGGCGACGTAAATGTGATGATTCGTTTAACGGTATAACGATATCAAGAATTGGCGGAATAAATTGCAATAATATGTATATGATTAATCCAATACCGCAAAAGCCTGAGAAAAACCTAATTTATATTTAAGTCTATAATTTATATCTAAATAATGTTCAAAATTCAAACAACATATTGAAGATAAAAACATAATTTGTCTTGTTAATTACAAATAATCCAAAAATGTTATATAAAAAATGATATATATATATATATATATATATATATATATATATATATATATGCTGCATACATATATTGATATCATCTTTGTTACAAACTATATATCACTACATATATAACGCACAAATACACTACTATTCTTACCTATCAAGATCATTGTAACAATTCTCGCGATGTAAGAATCTTTTTCTACAATATCAACTTCCACATCATCTTTCAACATTTTCCAGTTCTCTTGCATTCGCTCCAGCATTTGCTTCACCTGCTAATTCCTTTTTTTTAATTATATCATATCGTCTATGATTAAAATGCATTTTATTGTATCAATTATATGTTGGAAATGATTGTTTCAATTGAACTTACACCGTCTGCTTGTATAATAAAAAGACAATATTTAGTAATGCAGAAAAGAATAGGCAAGGTAAGTGAGAGAATCTTGAGGAGAAGGTTCGTACTGTATTGCATTGTGATGAATGCTAATAACTAAAAACAATATTTAAGTCATATAAAAATAAATCACTTTTGTAAACATGTTTTACATTCGTTAAAATATATTTTATTAAAAAATAAATCCAAATCATATAAATTAATTTACATAACTCATGATATAAAATCTATAATAAAATTTTCAGAATTAGGTATATATTATAATAAGTATCTTTTATATTTTTTAGAAAATTTTTTTTTATTTAGGTGTGTAAAATATTGTGTAAAAAATCTTATTTTTACATGTTATACTCGCATCATTAATTTATTCATTAAAATATTTAATAAACGTCACATTTTAATCATTTCTATAAAAATTATAAATGCTTGGTATACCTGGACAATAATAAATGCCGACAGAGAGCTGAGAAAAACCACTTTTCGTATCTCCGCGAAATACGATTGTTGATAAGGCCATAAGCCAAGTGTTTCAAGAAGCATTCGATTAATCTCGTATTCTTCTGTCGCAAACATTTTGTACAAGAACTACGACACAAATGACATAGATCTTTACATTCTAGTATTATTTTCTTTAAAATTGCTCCTAAATTATAATAATCGATATTAGAGATGTTATACTAAACATAATTATACTAAAGTGGTAGCTATAGCTTTCTAAGTGAGAGATAATGCATTCATGATATAGGCGGAAGCAAATTAACCGAAATTACTTAAATATATAATTGAGAACACATCTCTTTAAATTTATAAAATTGAAAAGTGTTTTGCGCAAACGCGATCATAATTATTCCTCAGTAAAAAAGAATTTCAGTTCTTGTCGATGCATCATGGGAAGTGTTACTTACTCATTTTGTATTGAATTATACGTGTAACGCATGCACATTTATGACATTACTTTGCTATTTCAAGTAGTGCCTATGCGTGCCAAACATTGTTCACTGCTAGGAAAGTGGTTATGAGTATGCACTAACATAGTTTAAATGTATTTTTCTTACAATTTAGTTAACAAAATATTTTTTCTTCACAAGTTAACAGGATTATTCAATCGTATTATATCAAAAATTACCAACATAGATTAAAATATTACTCAACAAATGTTACAAAATATTAAACATTAATTTCTATATTTTGATTCAATAATACAAATTATTCTGAAAATAATGAGTTTTAATTTATGATCAAACACATCTTATGCCTTACAATTAATTAAAAGCTGTTTGAGCCCAACATGTATTTGGCTCTTACTTATTATTAGTGTCATTTTTTATTTTGATTTGATATTTATATTCGTGCAAAAGCGTTTTTAATTGTACTATTTTATCAAAAGCAATTAAAAAATTTATTCAAGAAATAATGTCTATATTGTCACAGACATACGCGCACACGCACGCAAGACTGCACACAACACGCGCGTACGCATCCTCATTGAGAGATAATTGGTTTAACTTTATTCTTGATGCATATACATGGCGGCACGTACTCTATGATATGTATAGAGACCCTTGTTATCTATCAAAAGATTGTGTTGATCAAATTTAACTACGAAATTAACTATTGCATTAACATATACAAATTTAACAATGTATTGCCTTCCTATCGTGTCAATTAAGTTGAATATAATAATGGCAAATATGCATCAGTATACGCAATTAACTTGAATAATGTAAAAATAAAACGAATAATAAAATAAAATGATAAGATATATAAAATAAAAAGGTTATTAAATTACACAATAATTCATCATGAAATGATTGTATTTAGTTTTTGTTATTATTTCATATTCCATGATTAAAATAATTTCAAAGTTGGATTTATTATTATCAATATGTTCTTTTTAAATTCGATTAGGTTTCTATACCTTGAAAGATGTGTTTATTTATTAACATTGTTTGTGTAATATCAAGGTTTGAAAGACAATTATATATAAGAATATATATGTATATATGTAACAATATTTTATATATATATATATATATATATATATATATATATACATATATATATGTATATACACACATATATACACACACATATATACAGGATGTCCCACAACTAGTAATAAACCTGTTAATGGCAGATTCCTGAGATTATTTGGAGACAATGTTTCCTCAGCAAAAATGTCAAGGAAGTTCATTTTTTTGCATGCTTCCAATTTTTGCCATTATGTATCTTCGTAATTAAGTCGTAAATTAAAATTCTATTAAAATAAATTCTACTTAAAATTAATTAAGGAATGTGATTTTATTTTCACAAAGCTTTTGTTAGTTTGCGAAAAACTTTTTATTTTCAATCGCTCATAACTCGAAAATTATTGGTGCTTCGGCATTTTGTTGAGAAAAAATTGTCTCCAAATGATTCCAAGAATCTGCCATTAACAGGTTTACTGCTAGTTCTGGGACATCCTGTATACATATATAATATATAAAATAATATTATACATATAATTCTATAATTTTATAATTTATATGTACAGTTGTTTCGCACGATTATATTAATTCGAAAATCTATCCGATAAATAATAGATTTTCTTCCCTAGTTATTTTCGTTTTTTTGTCCCGTAGAATAAATTACTGTGAAATAGGATACTGCAGCATTTACAAGCTGAAAAGACAAATACACTAAAGTTCTTGTTGAATCTTTCTTGATTGTATATATTTTGTTAATTATTTTGTTAATGTATTTTGTTCTTAAAAAACTTAATTTTACCGTAGCAAAACCTTCCAAGGAAGCAATGAATGTGTTACCGTATCCTACATGCATGTTTACCGTTGCTTTCTGCATTATAAATAATAACAATTTTTGCGTATGTAACGGTGCTGCATACCACATTCCATTATAACTAGAATTTTTAAATACTGAAGTAAAATAAAATTTTTAAACTAGCAAAAAAAAGTATTGTAAACGTTTTTGCGATATAAATAACGTTAAATTAACTGCACATTTAAAAGTATATTTAAATTAAATCATATTTAAGAGATCTATATAAAAGACTCAATATATGTATATATACTCAATATATAGTATATAGTCATATAATCTGAAGAAATAGCTATAATTCTAAAAGTATTATAAAATATGATACTTACGTTGCTTTGAACAGCATTTTTCCACGATCTATTAATATTTGTCCCACATAATTAATGAGGAACATATAAGCCAAATGAATAAAAATCAACGCACCATGCAACATTGACTCTATGATATTCTTATTCATTTTTATCAATCGAAGAAACTACGACAAAATGCAATTTTTGTACAGAAGTCAATCAAGCAAAGTTCTGATAAGGAAGGATACTGCTTACTTGAAAGAGATTTAAACTTAAAGAGCTGACACCAATTATGATCAAAACAGCGAAAAATACCATAAATTTAGATTGAAAAAATTTAATAAACCTTTAATAAGATATTAAGTATTAAAATGGATGTTATCAATAGATAGGCGCAAACTTCGATATGTTCAATAATTTGTGCTCCAATGTGATAAATAAAAACGTGATTATAATCTCACGTTTAATCTTCACGGTGAATTGTTTCATTTCACATATTTTCAATAAATATTGTGTTCTTAATAATCTGTATATATTCATCAATTCTTACAATAAAGTATATATCTGTTTAATGCACTCCCAACTCTTAATGTACTTAATTTTAAATTAATGTTCATCAAATTTTATTTGTTGGTTTACTTAAGACAAAAATATATAAATCACCATTTGTAGTATTAAACGTGTGATAATAATATAGTATTTCAAAATAAATCAGCTGCTTTTAATAAATAACAAATACCGAATATAAAATGCAAAAGTTGTATAACAATAAAAAAAATTCAATACAGACTCGCTGGTCCTTCGATGCAAAGTAACAGCATGTATAATCCTTTGGCAAAGGAGATACTCTCTTGTAGGACTAGATATCGCTAATATACTCCATTCAATCGCGTTCTCCATACGATAGCTGTATAAATCTATTTAGGTATATTTTAATTTCAAAAACAGAGACAAGCGCAATTGACAGTACCTTGCGATATTAAGTAGTGCACTTATGTGCAGGGCATACGTTATTATTATCAAAGTAACGCTACCCAATGCGGCTATTGCTATAATTAGGGCTAGTATATAATGTAACAATATAGCATACATATATTTTTCTTGGTCGATAAAATATTCTGTGATGAAAATAGAGCGACGTAAACGTGATTCATTTAACGGTATAACGATATCAAGAATTATCGGAAAAAATTGCATTAATGTGTACATGATTAATCCAAAACAGCAGAAGCCTGAGAAAAACCTAATTTATATTTAAGTCTATAATTTATATTTAAATAATGTTCAAAATTCAAACAACATATTGAAGATAAATTTAAACATCATTTATCTTGTTAATGACAAATATTCCAAAAATGTTATATAAAAAAAAATGATATATATATTGCACACATATATTGATATCACCTTTGTTACAAACTATGTATCACTATATATATATATATAACGCACAAATACACTACTCTTACCCATCAAGATGATTGTAAGAAATCTCGCGATATAAGAATGTTTTTCTACAATATCAACTTCCAATTTATTTTTCAACATTCTCCAGTTATCTTGGATTCGCTCCAGCATTTGCTTCACCTGCTAATTCCTTTTTTTTAATTATATCATATCGTCTATGATAAAAATGCATTTTATTGTATCAATTATATGTTGAAAAAGATTGTTTTAATTAGACTTACAGCGTCTGCTTGTATAATGAAAATGTAATATTTAGCTATGCAGAAAAGAATAGGCAAGGTAAGTGAGAGAATCTTGAGGAGAAGGTTCGTACTGTATTGCGTTGTGGTGAATGCTAATAACTAAAAACAATATTTAAGTCATATAAAAATAAATCACTTTCATTTATTACTAAAATGTTTAACGTTCGTTAAAATATATTTTATTAAAAAATCAATCCAAATTATATAAATTAATTTACATAACTCATGATATAAAATTATTAATAAAATTTTTAGAATTAGGTATATATTATAATAAGTATCTTTTATATTTTTTAGAAAATTTTTTTAAATTTAGATGTGTAAAATATTGTGTAAAAAATCTTATTTTACATGCTTTACTCGCATCATTAAGTTTATTCATTAAAATGTGTATTTAAATGTCACCTTTTTAATCATTTCTATAAAAATTATAAATGCTTGGTATACCTGGACAATAATAAATGCCGACAGAGTACTGACAAAAAACACTTTTCGTATCTCCGCGAAATACGATTGTTGATAAGGCCATAAGCCAAGTATTTCAAGAAGCATTCGATTAATCTCGTATTCTTCTGTCGCGTACATTTTGTACAAGAGCTGCGACACAAATGGTATAGATCTTTACATTCTAGTATTATTTTCTTCAAAATTGCTCCTAAATTATAATAATCGATATTATAGTTGTTATACTAAACACACAGTTATACTAAAGTGGAAGCTATAGCTCTCTAAGTGAGAGATAATACATTTATAATATAGGCAAAAGCAAATTAGCTGCAATTACCTAAATATATAATTGAGAAAATGTCTCTTTAAAATTTATAAAACTGAAAATTGTCTTGCGCAAACGCAATCATAATTTGTTTTCAGTAAAGAATTCAGTTCTTGTCGATGCATCATGGGAAGTAGTACTTACTCATTTCATATTGAATTATGCGTGTAATGCATGTATATTTATAACATTACTTTGCTATTTCAAGTAGTGCCTATGCGTGCCAAACTTTGTCCATTGCTATGAAAGTGATTATGATTTTTGTACACTAACATAGTTTAAATGTATTTTTCTTACAATTAGTCGACAAAGTATTTCTTCTTTAGAACAAGGTGACAGGATTATTTAATCATATATTATAATATCAAAAATTACCAGCATAAATTAAAATATTGCACAACAAATGATAAAAAATGTTAAATTCTAAATTTTAATTCAATAATATAAATTATTCTGAAAAAAATAAGTTTTAATGTATGCTCAAACACATCTTATGCCTTACAATTAATTAAAAGGTGTTTGAGTTTGACGTGTATTTGGCTCTTACTTATTGTTAGTGTTATTTTTTTATTTTGATTTGATATTTATATTCGTGCGAGAGCATTTTTAATTGTACTGTTTCATTAAAAACAATTAAAAAATGTGTACAAGAGATAATGTCTATACTGTCATGGACACACGCGCACACGCACGCAAGACCGCGCGCAACACGCGCGTAACTTTATTCTTGATGCATATACATGGCGGCACGTACCCTATGAAATGTGTAGAGACCCTTGTTATCTATCAAAAGATTGTGTTGATCAAATTTAACTACAAAATTAACTATTGCATTAACATATACAAGTTTAACAATGTATTGATTTCCTACAGTGTCAATTAAGTTGAATATAAAAGTGGCAAATCTGCATCAGTATAGACAATTTACTTGAATAATATGAAAATAAAACGAATAAGAAAATAAAATGACCAGAAATATAAAATAAAAAGAATATTAAATTACACAATAGTTCATCATGAAATGATTGTATTTTGTTCTTGTTATTATTTCATATGCCATGATTAAAATAATTTCAAAGTTGGATTTATTATTATCAATATGTTCTTTTTAAATTCGATTAGGTTTCTATTTTTTGAAAGATGTGTTTATTTATTAACATTGTTTGTGTAATATCAAGGTTTGAAAGACAATTATATATACATATACACACATATACACACATTATACACACATATATACAGGATGTCCCACATCTAGTAATAAACTTGTTAATGGCAGATTCCTGAGATCAATTGAAGACGATGTTTCCTCAGCAAAAATGTCAAGGAAGTTCATTTTTTTGCATGCTTCCAATTTTTGCCATTATGTATCTTCATAATTAAGTCGTAAATTAAAATTCTATTAAAATAAATTCTACGTAAAATTAATTAAGGAATGTGATTTTATTTTCACAAAGCTTTTGTTAGTTTGCGAAAAACTTTTTATTTTCAATCGCTCATAACTCGAAAATTATTAGTGCTTCGGCATTTTGTTGAAAAAAAATTGTCTCCAAATGATTCCAGGAATCTGCCATTAACAGGTTTACTAGCTCTGGGACATCCTGTATACATATATAATATATAAAATAATATTATACATATAATTCTATAATGTTAGAATTTATATGTACGGTTGTTTTGCACGATTATATTAATTCAAAAATCTATCCGATAAATAATAGATTTTCTTCCCTAGTTATTCTCGCGTTTTTGTCCCGTAGAATAAAATACTGTAAAATAGGATACTGCAGCATTTACAAGCTGAAAAAATAAATACACTAAAATTCTTGGTGAATCTTTGTTAATTCTATATATTTGGTTGATTATTTTGTGAATGTATTTTGTTCTTAAAAAACTTAATTTTACCGTAGCAAAACCTTCCAAGGAAGCAACGAATGTGTTACCGTATTTTAACTGAACGTCTACCGTTACTTTTTGCATTATAAATAATAACAATTTTTGCGTGTTTAATGGTGCTGCGTACCATATTCCATTATAACTGCAATTTTCAAATGTTGAAATAAAGCAAATTGTAAAAAATTATAAACTAACAAAACAATACACTAAAAGCATTTTTGCGATAACTAATGAAATAATCTACACATTCATAGGAGTAGAAAAATAAATATAATGGATTCGAATCATACTAGGATTACTCGAAAGGTAATGCCCCACATTTCTTTATCTCGAAAAGTATTTATTCAACAGGTTTGTTTACTTAATATACATACATGTTTTTTAACATATATTATTTTTTATATATCCTATTTTTATATAATTTTTAACTAATAAATACTTCGTGTGAAAAAATGTAGGGCATTAATTTCTCATCCTAATATTTAAGAGATGTACATATGTATATGAGAATCAGTACATACAAATAGTAATAATGTACAAATGTATACTTTTAAAAGCAATATAAATATAATACTCACGTTGCTTTGAACAGCTTTACTCCATGATCTATTACTATTTGTCCCGCATAATTAAAAATGAACATGTAAATCAAATGAATAAAAATCAATGCAGCAATTACCATTATCTCTACGGTATTCATATCCATTCTTATCAGTCGAAAAAACTACGAAGAAATAATACTTAAAGAGAAATCAATAAGCATCAAAGTAGGAAGAAAAGGTATTGCTTACTTGAAAAAGATTTAAACTTAAAGAACTGACGCCAATTGCAATCAGAACAGCAAAAAATGTCAAAAATTTAGATGTAAAAAATTCAATAAACCTTCAAGAAAATATAGTCATTAAGTACCACATATTAAGTATTAGAACTGTTACAGTACCAACAGATAGGCGTAAACTTCGATATATTCATTTTTTGTGCTTCAGTATGATAAGTAAATGTGATTATGATCTTAAGTTTAATCTTGACGGTGAATGTTTCATTCCACATTTTAAAAATATTGTGTTTTTAAAAGACTGCATAGTATATTCATCAAACATATTCTTAAAATAAGTTGTACATCTTTAACATATTTTAGCTCTCAAATAAATAAATAAACCGCTTTTAATGAATAATGAATAAATATAGAGCAAGAGTTTTATAGTAATAAAAAAATAAAAATACTGACGCGATGGCCCTTCGATGTATAGAAACCGCATGTACAATCCTTCGGTAAAGGAGATATTCTCGTGTAGGACTCGGAATCGCTAATATACTCCGATTAATTGCATTTTCCATACGATAACTGTATAAATCTATTTAAGCATTATTTAATTTCAAAAACAGAGACAAGCGCAATTGACAGTACCTTGCGATATCTAACAGTGCACATGAATGCAGAATATACGTTAAGATTGTCATAGTAGGGCCACAAAGTGCGACTATTCCTATAGCTACGGCTAGTATATAATGCAACAATATAGCATTCATATACTTTTCTTGGTCGATAAAATATTCTGTGATCAAGATAGGGCGACGTAAACGTGATTCATTTAACGGTATGACGGTATCAAGAATTAGTGGTAAAAATTGCATTAATGTGTACATGATTAATCCAAAACAGCAGAAGCCTGAGAAAAATTTAATTTATATCTAAGTTTTTGTATCTAAATACGTAAATAATTCAAACAACATATCAAAACTGTATTTAAGTATTCTTGTAAATTGCAAAAATCCCGAAAAAATTATATAAAAATATTAATATTACACGTATTGCATATACATATATGTTGATATTATCTTTGTAACAAACTATGTGTCACACTATAAAACATATATAACACGGTAACGTACTGCTATTCTTACCCAATAGAATTACTGCGAGAAATCTCGCGATAAAAGAATATTTCTCTATAATATTTATTTCTAATTTATCTTTTAATATTCTCCAGTTATCTTGAATTTGCTCCAGCATTTGTTTAACCTGTTTATTCCTTTGATTTTAAATATAATTCTTTGTATGGTTCATATGTTATTGTATCAATGTTACAATATGTTGGAAAAGATTGTTTTAATTAAACTTACAACGTCTGCTCGTCTAATAAAAGTGTAATACTTAACAAAGCAGAAAAGAGCAGGCAACGTTAATGAGAGATTCTTCATGAGAAGATTTACACTATACTGCATTGTGATGAACACTAGCAACTAAAAACATGATTTAATATAATAAAATATAATAATAAATCATTTTTATTTATTACTAATTGTATAATAAAACGTTTTACACGCGCTAAAATATGTTCTATTAAAATAATAAATTTAGATTATATAAATTAAGTTACATACATAACTCATTATAATATATAATTATTAATAAAATTATTTGTAAAATTTAAAAATGTTTTAAAAATATTTTTTAGGTATGTAAAATATTGTGTAAAAAATCTTGTTTTTACATGCTTTACTCGCATCATTAAGTTTATTCATTAAAATGTGTATTTAAATGTCACCTTTTTAATCATTTCTATAAAAATTATAAATGCTTGGTATACCTGGACAATAATAAATGCCGACAGAGTACTGACAAACAACACTTTTCGTATCTCCGCGAAATACGATTGTTGGTAAGGCCATAAGCCAAGTATTTCAAGAAGCATTCGATTAATTTCGTATTCTTCTGTCGCGTACATCTTATACGAGAGCGACGACACAACTGGTATAGGTCTTTTCATACTACCATAAATTTTTTGTTCGAAATTTCTTATGAATTACAAATGATCGATATTATAGTATACAATTGTACTCAAATGATGATTACAGCTTTCCAATAGTGAGAAATTATATATTCAGGATATAGGCAAAAACGAATTAGTTGAAATTACCTTAATATATGTAATTGAAAGTATATGTTTCTTTAAAACGTATAAGACTGAAAATTGTTTTGCGCAAACGCAGTCACGATTCTTTTTTCTTCAGTAAGAAAAAGTTTCAGTTCTTGTTGGTGCATCGTAGGGAGCGTGCGTCACTCCCTTCAAAATGGATTGTACAGTGTAGATCGCTTATATTTATGACAATATTTTGCTATTTTAAATAATGTATATGCTTACAATATTGTATGTCATAATTGCCGCAATTATGTCAAACGTTGTGATTATTGTTATGAAAGTAATTATGATTTCATGCAATCACATAATGTAAATGTCTTTTTCTTGGTAACAAAGTATTTCGCCATTACGATAAGTTAACAAGGCTACGACACATTTAATTGTATTATAATATCAAGAATTACCTGCACAAATTGAAATATTGCGCAAAAAATGCGACCAATGCAAAAAAATGTTGAAGTTTAGTCTCTTAACTTTAATCCAACAATATAAATTATTTCGAAAAGAATAAGTTTCAAATTGCACTCAAACGCATCATTTGTATTAATTAAAAGGTGTTTGCGCCTGACTTGTGCTTGGCTATTACATATTATTAGTGTCATGTTTTATTTCGATTTGATTATATTCTTGAGAGCGTTTATAATTGTTTTGTTTAATTAAAAGCAATTTAAAGAAGTTACGAGAGAAATAACGTATGACGTCTATACACACACACACACACGCGTGCATACGCATTCACACATCGCGTGCACGCATGCACGCACACAAATATACGTGCACGCATCCATGTTGAGAGAGATTGTATTGATTTAACTTAATTCTCAATGCCTATACAGAGCGATATGTATAGTCTATAATATAGAGACCCTTCTTATCTATCAAAAATTGTGCTAATTAAATTTAATTATGAAATAAATCTACTGCATTAATATGCACCAGTTCAACAATATATTGCATTTTTATCGTGTCAATTGAAATGTGAATAAGTAGTTAAAGTAAACGGCACGTCTGTATCAATATACGCAATTAGTTTGGATAATGTGAAAATAAATAAAATAATAAAATTATAAAAAATATACAATAAAAAAAAATATTGATTTACATAACTAATTATAAACTAATTGTATTTTGTCCATACTATTATTTAACAGCCAAAATTAAAAGGTACTGTTTCGATGTTTGATTATCAATAACTTGCTTTTAAACTCTATTAGGCTTCTATAAATTTTTTGAAAACGTGCTTATTTATTAATATTGTTTGATAATAAAAGTATGAAAGTATAATAGAAGTATGTTTATGTATTAAATTTCAGAAATTGCAGATATGTATTTATGCGCGTATGTATGCTTGTTGACTACAATAATCGTATGTTAATTTAAAAATCTGTTTGGATAAATAATAATTAATCTTTATAATTATTTTCGTGATACTGTCGTAGAATAAATCACTGTTAAATAGGATAGTGCCATATTCGCGAGCTGAAAAGACACATTAATGTGCTGATTAAATCTATTTAATTTAAGATTTTGTTTTTAAAAAAAGCTTTTAACTTTACCGTAGCAAAACCTTCCAAGGAAGCAATGAATACGTTTCCATATCCCAAACTGAGGTTTGCCATTACTTTTTGCATTATAAATAAGAATAATTTTTGCGTATGTAATGGTGCTGCATACCACATTCCATTATAACTGCAATTATTACACGTATTGAAGTAAAATAAATTGTGAACTAGCAAAAAAGTGCGCTCAAAACATTTTTACGATTAATTTTAAATTAATTGTATATCCAAAATATTAGAAAAGTATATACAATCCATTTAAATCAAATTTAAAAAGTATATCAAATATGAGAATCGGTGTAAATAATTGTAATTTATATAAATATAGTTTTAAAAAAATAACTAACAATAAGTACTGAAACACGATACTCACGTTGCTTTAAACATCTTTATTCCATGATTTATTATTATTTGTCCTGCGTAATTGGCCATGAACATATAAATCAAATGAATAATGATTATAATAATTACTATTATTATCTCCATAATATCATTTGTATTCATTTTTATCATTCGAAGAAACTACAATGAAATGAAAACTTAAAAAGAAATTTTAAGCAAAACAGATACGAAAGAGTGCTGCTTACTTGAAGAAGATTTAAACTTAAAGAGCTGACGCCAATTACGATCAGAATAGCCAAAAATGTCATAAATTCAGATGTAAAAAATTTAGTAAACCTTCAACGAAAAAGTATTGAAACTGTTACCTTAACTTCGGTATATGTATTCTTCTATCGTATGAGAAGTAAATATAATTCTGACCTCACGTTTAATCTTGGTGGTAATTGTTTAATTCTGCATTTTTTTTAAAAGTTATTGTTTTTAAGAATTTAATCGTATTCATCACACACATTCTTAAAATATGTAAATGCAAAATCTCTAACGTACTTGACTCTTAAATGTACTTAATTTTAAATAAATTTTAATCAAATTTTATTTATTAGTTTAATTAATATGAAAAGATATTAATAAACCATTTAATATTAAACGTGTGATAATAATACGATTTCAAAATAAATCAATCATTTTTAGTCGATAACAAATAAAGACAGCATACATGTAAAAGTTTTATAACAATAAAAAGTAAAAATACTGACTCGATGGCCCTTTGATGTATAGTAATCGCATGTACCATCTTCTGAAAAAGAAGATATTCTCTCGTAGGACTAGAAATTGCTAAGATATTCCTTCCAATCGCGTTCTCTATACGATAGCTAAATATAAATTTATTTAAGGATATTTCACTTTTAAAAACAGAGATACGTAAGTGCAATTAACAGTACCTAGCAATAGTAAGCAGCGCACATGTCTGGAGAAGGTAAGTCAACATTGTCATACTGACGCTACAACATACCAATCCTGCTATGAGTAGGGCTAATATATAATGCAACAATATAACGTATATATATTTTTCTTGGTTGACAAAATATTCCGTGACGATGATAGGTCGACGACAACGTGATTCATTCAATGGAAACACAATATCAAGGATTGGTGGTAAAACTTGTAATGTTATGTATATGATTATTCCAAAACAGCACAAGCCTGAGAAAAATTTAACTTATACCTATAATCTAATTTATATTTAAGTACGTAAATGATTGAGAAAACATCAAAACAATATTCAAGTATTGTTTGTCTTGTTAATTGCAAAGGCTCAAAAAGTTATATAAGAAAAATTGATATACTATACATATATACTGTATATATATTTATACTCATATTATCTTTGTCATAAACTATGTATTATTGTATATATGATGCAATAATATTAATCTTACCGAAAAGAAACAATGTGCAATATCTCGCAATATAAGAATATTCTTCTATAATACCAATTTCCAGTTTATCTTTTAACATTTTCCAATTCTCTCGGTAGTGCTCTATCATTTGCTTCATCTATTTATTCCATTTTTTAAATGTTATTCTTTATATTAAAATATATATTATTGTGTCAATATTATAATATAAAAAGATTATTTTAATTGGACTTACAGTATCTGCTCGTATAATAAAAATGCAATATAGCACAATGACAAAAAGAGTAGGTAAAACAAGTGAAAGAATCTTGAAGAGGAGATTCGTACTATACTGCGTTGTGATGAATACAAATAACTAAGAACAATTCAAGAGATATAATAATAAAAAACCATAAAAAATTCAAATATTTTTACTTATTACTAAAATGTTTTACACGCGCTAAAATGTTTTTTATTAAAAATGAATCCAGATTAGATAAATTAAGAAACTTATATTTAACTGGTTTATTATATATATATTATTAATAAATTATTCATATATTTTTATTTATATAATAAATAGTTTTGTTTTTATAGAAAAGTTTGAAACTTTTTAGTTTAAATTATCTCTGTGTATATATGTATATTAAGATGAATAAAGCATAAATATAAAAAAAGCGTAATGCTTAATGATTTTCAAAATCGATTTTTTTAAATACAAATAGTTTATATAAAAATTCTATTTTGCATGTTTTCTTCGTGTTATTAAAATTATTTATCAATATGTATATCTAATGTCACTATATAATTCTTTTTATAAAAGTTATAAGTGTAGCTTATTGTTAGTATACCTGGACAAGTGTAATTGAGGAAAGAATGCTGATACAAAAAATTTTTTGTATTCTCGCAAAATATGATTGTTGATAAGGCCATAAACCAATTATTTTAAGAATTACTCGATTGATCTTGCATTCTAACGCGTGCATCTTATACGAAAACTGCGATACATCTGACATAGTGTTGTATTGAATTCTAACATTATTTTTTTCAAAATTGCTCATGAATTGTAAATGATATTATAGCACATAGTTATACTAAAATGATGGTTATAGTTTTTTAACAGGAAAAGATAATACATTCATGGTATAGGCGAAAGTAAATTAGCTAAAATTACTTTAATATGCTTATATTGAAGTATTCTTTTAAAACATATATTGAAAATTGTTTTGCGCAAACGCAATCATGACTTTTTTCCTTCATAAAAAAAAAAGGTTTCAGTTCTTGTCGGTGCATTGCAGAAGAAGGATTACTCCGGATTACTCACTTTATATTAAATTATACGATGCAGAGTGCGAATCGTATTTAAAGAAACTTTAGATAAATTCATTTATTTATTATTATACGTATATCTAGTCTACAATCTCCCATTTTCATTGCGTATTTTATTAAGAAAGTTATAAGCAAAAATTAAAAAAAAATCCAAATTTTTATATTCATACATAGAGTTTGTCCCATTTATTTATTATAATATGTGTGTGTGTGTGTGTGCTAATTAAAATACATATTTATATAATATTATTTATGGATATAATCAGCAGCAAAATATACTCCAGCAGTATTCTCTAATATAATATATCATATTTGAAAAAATGTAAAATAATAATAATAATAATAACATAATACTTATAAATAGGTGAATAAGTAGTTGAATGTAAACGGCAAGTCTGTATCAATATACGCAATTAGTTTGGATAATGTGAAAATAAATAAAATAATAAAATTATAAAAAATATACAACAAAAAAAAAAGATATACATAACTATTTATAAACTAATTGTATTTTGTCCATACTATTATTTAACAGCCAAAATTAAAAGGTACTCTTTCGATGTTTGATTATCAATAACTTGCTTTTAAACTCTATTAGGCTTCTATAAATTTTTTAAAGACGTGCTTATTTATTAATATTGTTTGATAATAAAAGTATAAAAGTATAATAGAAGTATGTTTATGTATTAAATTTCAGAAATTGCAGATATGTATTTATGCGCGTATGTATGCTTGTTGACTACAATTATGTTAATTTAAAAATCTGTTTGGATAAATAATAATTAATTTTTATAATTATTTTCGTGATACTGTCGTAGAATAAATCACTGTTAAATAGGATAGTGCCATATTCGCGAGCTGAAAAGACACATTAATGTGCTGATTAAATCTATGTTAATTTAAGATTTTGTTTTTAAAAAAAGCTTTTAACTTTACCGTAGCAAAACCTTCCAAGGAAGCAATGAATACGTTTCCATATCCCAAACTGAGGTTTGCCATTACTTTTTGCATTATAAATAAGAATAATTTTTGCGTATGTAATGGTGCTGCATACCACATTCCATTATAACTGCAATTATTACACGTATTGAAGTAAAATAAATTGTGAACTAGCAAAAAAGTGCGCTCAAAACATTTTTACGATTAATTTTAAATTAATTGTATATCCAAAATATTAGAAAAGTATATACAATCCATTTAAATCAAATTTAAAAAGTATATCAAATATGAGAATCGGTGTAAATAATTGTAATTTATATAAATATAGTTTTAAAGAAATAACTAACAATAAGTACTGAAACACGATACTCACGTTGCTTTAAACATCTTTATTCCATGATTTATTACTATTTGTCCTGCGTAATTGGCCATGAACATATAAGTCAAATGAATAATGATTATAATAATTACTATTATTATCTCCATAATATCATTTGTATTCATTCTTATCATTCGAAGAAACTACGATGAAATGAAAACTTAAAAAAAAATTTTAAGCAAAACAGATACGAAAGAGTACTGCTTACTTGAAGAAGATTTAAACTTAAAGAGCTGACGCCAATTACGATCAGAATAGCCAAAAATGTCATAAATTCGGATGTAAAAAATTTAGTAAACCTTCAACGTAAAAGTATTGAAACTGTTACCTTATTAATATAGACAAGCGCAAACTTCGGTATATGTATTCTTCTATCGTATGATAAGTAAATATAATTCTGACCTCACGTTTAATCTTGGTGGTAATTGTTTAATTCTGCATTTTTTTTAAAGAGTTATTGTTTTTAAGAATTTAATCGTATTCATCACACACATTTTTAAAGTATGTAAATGAAAAATTTTTAACGTACTTGGCTCTCAAATGTACTTAATTTTAAATAAATTTTAATCAAATTTTATTTATTAGTTTAATTAATATAAAAAGATATTAATAAACCATTTAATATTAAACGTGTGATAATAATACGATTTCAAAATAAATCAATCGCTTTTAATCGATAATAAATAAAGACAGCATACTTGCAAAAGTTTTATAACAATAAAAAGTAAAAATACTGACTCGATGGCCCTTTGATGTATAGTAATCGCATGTACAATCTTCTGGAAAAGAAGATATTCTCTCGTAGGACTAGAAATTGCTAAGATATTCCTTTCAATCGCGTTCTCTATACGATAGCTAAATATAAATTTATTTAAGGATATTTCACTTTTAAAAACAGAGATACGTAAGTGCAATTAACAGTACCTTGCAATAGTAAGCAGGGCACATGTCTGGAGAAGGTAAATCAACATTGTCATACTGACGCTACAAAATACCAATCCTGCTATGATTAGGGCTAATATATAATGCAACAATATAACGTATATATATTTTTCTTGGTTGACAAAATATTCCGTGACGATGATAGGTCGACGACAACGTGATTCATTCAATGGAAACACAATATCAAGGATTGGTGGTAAAACTTGTAATGTTATGTACATGATTATTCCAAAACTAAACAAGCCTGAGAAAAATTTAACTTACACCTATAATCTAATTTATATTTAAGCACGTAAATGATTGAAAAAACATCAAAACAATATTCAAGTATTGTTTGTCTTGTTAATTGCAAAGGCTCAAAAAGTTATATAAGAAAAATTGATATACTATACATATATACTGTATATATATTTATACTCATATTATCTTTGTCATAAACTATGTATTATTGTATATATGATGCGATAATATTAATCTTACCGGAAAGAAACAATGTGCAATATCTCGCAATATAAGAATATTCTTCTATAATACCAATTTCCAGTTTATCTTTTAACATTTTCCAATTCTCTCGGTAGTGCTCTATCATTTGCTTCATCTATTTATTCCATTTTTATAAATGTTATTCTTTATATTAAAATATATATTATTGTGTCAATATTATAATATAAAAAGATTATTTTAATTGGACTTACAGTATCTGCTCGTATAATAAAAATGCAATATAGCACAATGACAAAAAGAGTAGGAAAAACAAGTGAAAGAATCTTGAAGAGGAGATTCGTACTATACTGCGTTGTGATGAATACAAATAACTAAGAACAACAATTCAAGAGATATAATAATAAAAAACCATAAAAAATTTAAATATTCTTACTTATTACTAAAATATGTTTTACACGCGCTAAAATGTATTTTATTAAAAAAATGAATCCAGATTAGATAAATTAAGAAACTTATATTTAACTAGTTTATTATATACATATAATTATTAAAAAATTATTCATATATTTTTATTTATATAATAAATAGTTTTGTTTTTATAGAAAAGTTTGAAACTTTTTAGTTTAAATTATCTCTGTGTGTATATATGTATATTAAGATGAATAAAGCATAAATATAAAAAAAGCGTAATGCGTAATGATTTTCAAAATCGTTTTTTTTACATACAAATAATTTATATAAAAATTCTATTTTGCATGTTTTCTTCGTGTTATTAAAATTATTTATCAATATGTATATCTAATGTCACTATATAATTTTTTTACAAAAGTTATAAGTGTAGCTTATTGTTAATATACCTGGACAAGTGTAATTGATGAAAGAATGCTGATACAAAAAATTTTTTGTATCCTCGCAAAATATGATTGTTGATAAGGCCATAAACCAATTATTTTAAGAAATACTCGATTGATCTTGCATTCTTCTAACGCGTTCATCTTATACGAAAACTGCGATACATTTGGCATAGTGTTGTATTGAATTCTAACATTATTTTTTTCAAAATTGCTCATGAATTGTAAATGATATTATAGCACATAGTTATACTAAAATGATGGTTATAGTTTTCTAAGAGGAAAAGATAATACATTCATGGTAAAGGCGAAAGTAAATTAGCTAAAATTACTTTAATATGCTTATATTGAAGTATTCTTTTAAAACATATATTGAAAATTGTTTTGCGCAAACGCAATCATGACTTTTTTCCTTCATAAAAAAAAAGGTTTCAGTTCTTGTCGGTGCATTGCAGAAGAAGGATTACTCCGGATTACTCACTTTATATTAAATTATATGATGCAGAGTGCGAATCGTACTTAAAGAAACTTTAGATAAATTCATTTATTTATTATTATACGTATATCTAGTCTACAATTTTTCATTTTTATTGCGTATTTTATTAAGAAAGTTATAAGCAAAAATTAAAAAAAAAATCCAAATTTTTATATTCATACATAGAGTTTGTCCCATTTATTTATTATAATATATGTGTGTGTGTGTGCTAATTAAAATACATATTTATATAATATTATTTATGTATATAATCAGCAGCAAAATATGCTCCAGCATTATTCTCTAATATAATATATCATATTTGAAAAAATGTAAAATAATAATAATAATAATAATAACATAATACTTATTTTAGAATACTGTAAAAAATTAATAAGAAAAATAAATTTACTTAATCTGATTAATTAAACTTATGCAGGCATCTATTTTTTATTTTCTTTTGTGATGGATTATATATTAGTATTATCTATTATCTATTAGTATAATTTTATTTTGTCTAATTATCAAGAGTGAAATAATATACATTTATTTATTTATTTATTAATACATTATTTGTGTGAGTACACTACTATATTTATCAAATTTATAATGTATACACATTTTTGCTGACTATATTTATTTGAGATAAATTTACCTAAGTGATAATGAATTTTTCTTGTCGACTTATCTCGTAGAATACATTACCATGAAATAGGATACTGCTGTATTAGTGAGCTGAAAGACATTAACTGCTTCTAAAGATTCATATACGTTTTTCTTTTGTTCGAAAAAAGTTTTTAATTTTACCATAGCAAAACCCTCTAAAGATGCAATAAATAGAGTGCCACATCCTATAGTGACATTTTTCGTTCCCCTTCGCATTATAAATAATAATAATTTCTGTGTACGTAACGGTGCTGTATACCACAGTCCATTATAACTGCAATTTAAAATGTTAAATGTTTAAACAATTTTTTTTTTAATGTTAAAATCAGAGCCGTGTAGTTTAGAAAAATAAGTCGTTTTTACTTTATAATTAACGTTAAGTTGATTGTATTTTTAATTAGAAGAATATATATGATATATACACATATGTATGGATATACATATATACACATACTCACGTTGAATTAAATAACTTTATTCCATGATCTGTTATTGCTTGTCCGGCATAATTAGCGGCGAACAAATATATCAAATGAATAATTATAAATAAGGCGAATATAAGTGCCTCATTCGTATTGTTCATTAATGTTATCACATGAAGAAACTATGACGCATTTAATAATCAGTATATAATTATGTAAAATAAAGATGGAAAAAAAGAGTGAGAGGAGCGAAAAGATATTACTTACTTGGAAAAAATTGAAACTTAAAGAACCGACGCCAACTATGATCAGAATAGCATATGATATCGTAAAAGTAGATGTTATAAATTTGGTAAACCTTTAATGAGGAGCTGCTAGATACTGGAACTATTATTAATATAACTAGTGCAAAGTACAAAATTCATTCATTTATGCTAACTATTATGCTTGTAATAATGTGCAATAAATGTATAAATGTATTCCATATATATTATATAACCACACATTTAATATTGAGTTGCCAGAGATTATGTATTTTACAAAAAAGTTTTAAAAATAATGCGATTAAAAATTAATTATCATTAAAATAAAATATTAAAAATTTAAATTAACATAATTATAATTACAAATTGTAGCAAATTACGTAAATTTAATTCCTTTAAGCATAATCAATTTTAAATTTTAATTAAATTTGTAATATAGATTAAATTTATAAGTGTAGAGCAAAAAAAAAATATTACACATTAAATATGTGGTGAGTATAAAATTCCGTTTAAATTGATAAGAAAGGATAAAAAAGATAAGATGTCAATATGTAATAAAAAATGTTATAATATAGATATAAAATATTTACTCGATGGCTCTTCGATGTATAATAATCGCATGTACAATCCTGTGGTGAAGGATATGCTCTCTTCTGAGACTAGGGATCGCTAACACATTTTTCTCAATCCAACAATTCGCTATTCGATAACTATATAAATCTATACTTAGATTGAAACAAATGTTCAAGAAATACAAGTGCATTTATGACATTACCTTGCTACTTCAAATAGTGCACATGCGTGCAAAATATACATCATAATTGTCGTAACTGTGCCAAATATTGTGATCATTGCTATAAAGGCGGATATAATCTCGTGCAATATTATAGCATAAATATATTTCTCTTGGTTAACAAAGTATTCTGTTATTGCGATAAGTTGACAGGGTCGTGATTCGTTCAACGGTATTATAATATCAAGAATTATCGGCAAAAGTTGAAGTATTATGCAACAACATGACCCTAATAAGCAAAATGCTAAAAAACATTAAGTTATTAGTCTCTCAATTTTTATCCAATATTATAAATTATTAAAAAAAAAAGTTTTTATGTTGGCGCGCAAACACATCCTTTGTCTTAATTAGGTGTTTGCGTCCTATTTGTATTTGACTCTCATTCATTTTTTATTACGATTTGATAATATTCTTGAGAGCATTTATATTGTTTAATTAAAAGCAATTTAAAAAAAAAAAGAAATAATGTATCTATACTTTGATACACATACGCGCGCGCGTATGTGTATGTATGATAACTATATTAGTATATTCTTTTGTACCCATCGCAGTAATCGTGAAAAGTCTGGAGTTGCTAGCGTATTTCTCTATAATATTAATTTCTAATTTATTTTTCAACAATTTCCAATCATTTCGAATTTGCTCCAATAATTGCTTGACCTGTTTTATATGTCTATTACATTTTCTGTCTTATCAATAGTTAGAATATAAATTTATTTTACAAATGTTATAAGGAAACATTTGAATAAACGATTCATCTTTTTCGACTTACACGATCTGCCTGAATGATAAACATGCCATACTTTATAGTGCTAAAAAGAGTAGGGAAGACTAAAGAGAGAATCCTGAAGAGAAGATTTATATTGTATTGGGTTGTAATGAATACCAGCAACTGTGTGAGAATAATGTTTAAGATATATCAGAGTATGTTTCATATGAAAAAGGTCGTTTTATTATGTAATAAATTAGAAACTTTCTTGAAGCATTTTTTACATTATATCAAAGAAGATAAATCCTTTATATATTTTATTTTATAATAATTTTTTATTAGTAGTTACTAGAAAAATCTAAAAAAATTTTTTAGAAAATAATAATATACATATATAAAAGATTTTTTTCTCGAATATTTTGTAATAAAACGCTTGAAAAACATTTGATATTATCGTGTAACCAAACGAGCTATATATGTATATGTGTATATTATATGTATATATGATACAAAACTTTTACTGAAAATACAACAAATTATCAAGAAAAAACGTTACAAAAATATTTATTCTCTTTGATATTTAATGTGATTTTTTGCTTTTTAAAAATTTATGTAAAATAACATATAATTTATATAACAAAACTTTTATATGTAACATTATTAATATAAAAAATTGTGCATTATATAGAAAATAAGATAAAAGCACGTCTATAAAGCTGGCACAGCAACTTTAGCACAATTGCATGAAACTTAGTATATAAAAATTTAGTGCTCTTTTGTTGCTAATTTGTTGCTCAATTCCCGATTTTGTTGCTCCAGCTGATTCGGAAAAAATAGTAGTTGTGCCAATTTCAATTAAAGTTAGCACAACTTAAAAAAAAAATTTTTTTTATTAAAAAAATGGAGCAGATTTTTATAGAGTTAATTTGTTGTTAATTAGTTGCTCTATTCCCGAATCTCTTATTACATTTTTTAACCCTGAAAACCACCCCAAAGTTACCCTGCAGCAGTAAAACATTTTAAAACTACAAATATTCAAATATCTCAATTTATAACGCTTTCTACATTTTGTTGCTCGCAAATTATAACAATTCCGATTTTGTTTCTCCACTCCTACTCATTAAAACCACCCCTAGCTACTCCACGTTAGCACAATGCGTTAAAGTTGTAAAATAATGAAATATTTCGATTGATAATGTTTCTCTGATTTTGTTGCTCGCCGTTTAGAATAAATCTGATTTTTTTGCTCCACCCCTATCTATTGAAAACTACCCCTAGCTACTTCACCTTAACACACCACCCTAAAATTGTAAATATCTCGACTGAAAATGGTTTTTCGATTTTGTTGCTTGCAATTTATAACAATTCCGATTTTGTTTCTCCACCCCTATTCATTAAAAACCACCCCTAGTTACTCTACGTTAGCACAACACGTTAAAGTTGTAAAATAACGAAATATTTCGATTAATAACGTTTCTCTGATTTTTGAAGTGTGTGCTTTATAGACGTGATGAAAGCATTGTGAAAGAAATAAAAGGTATCTATTAAAATGCGTTATTTATCAAATTACTATTATTCAATTCATAAAATTAAAAATGTGACTGTATACATATATACCTGGGCAAGAATAAATGACAAAAGTATACTGGCAAACAACATTTTATGTATTTGCACGAAATGCGACTGCTGATAAGGCCACAAGCCAAGTGTTTTAAGAATTATTCGATTGATCCTGTAATAACGTTCTTCTATCGCGTGCATCTTATACGAGAACTACGATACAACTGTGGTGAACATTTTTATGATTTTCATAATATCTCTCGATTTTTTCTTGAATACTAAACGATCGATACCCTCGCACGGAAGATAGCTATAGAATTAATTACATCAAACAACGGGACAAAGGTGGAACCAAATTGGTCTAAATTATCTCAATTTGTAATAGAGCGATATTTCTTTGAAATACATTCACTGAAAAATGCGCAAGCGCAGTTATGACTTTTTTTTTCTTGGTCTGAAAAAATTTCAGTTTCTTCTCGTGTATTACACTAGAGACATCATTATTCGCTTTGCAGCAAAATGTAGTATAGAATGGATCATGTGTGAACAACTTATGCAAACATTTATTCGTTTGTATTTACTATTCATAATATATTGACAATTAATACGTATCGTGTGTGTGCTTATCCTTCTTTCTTTATTATGTTTTTTTCAATTTAATGAAGAAAGCCAACATTAAAATTTTTATACAAAAAAGTTTATTCGATCTATTTGATATAAAAAAAAATTAATATTTTTGACAAGATACTTAATAAAGTTTACGTTTTATAAAATATTTAACATTTTATATAACAAAAATTTTCTCTTTATAATTTATATATAAGTATATTTTAAAATTAATGTTAATTTAATCTAAAGCTTTAATTGTAACAAAGTAAATAATATTTTGTTAAATATTTAATTTTAAAAATATGTGTGCGTAAGTACATTCACATTGTTTCAATAACCTCATAATTTATTATTATTTAACCGTCATAATTAATGGCAAATATATAATTAAAATGAATAAAAATTAACATACAGCGAATAAAAGTTTTATCGATATTGTTTTTTAATATCAATTAAAGAAATTATGACAAAATATTATTTAATGGGCAGTTTTAATAGATTTGTTGTTTGTTCGGCCAATGTGGTACGTATTAAAATATTTATATGCAGTTTTAACTGTAATATATATAGTATATACATTTCATTTAAGGAAATTATAAAATGTAATGTAAAAAAAAATAAATATTTGCAGTATTTTGTCTTTTTTCACATAAGACAAATATATAAATTCACATAAGACAAATAGTTCTTAAAAAAATAGTTTTTCCCTAAGGCAATTTTCTACACATTTATACTTTACTTACTCACTGTAGAAGAACACGCAGCATTCATGTCCAATAATATCTCTGTGCATTTTTACTTACCTGAAAATAAAAAAATCATGTATTAGTGATAATAATATATTTATAACAAAGTAAGATTATATTTTATAATTACAGCGCTGCCATCCAGTTATCAAACTAAAAAGTGAAATAGTGACTGCTTTTTAATAAAAAAAGTGATAAAAAGTGACCCTTTAAAAAATAGTAACCAAAAGTGAAATTTTTAATCAAATTTTTAGAATAATTTTGAATAAAAAAAGAAAAAAATTGTTAACTCTTATTTTTTTAAATCCATCTTTAAACAATCTGACACCTAGCATATTTTTTCATCGCATATGACTTGAAAGTTTATAATATGGAAAAAATATACTATATAGACAAAATGCTTAATACAAATACGATACAATAAAAATATATTTCTTTGGCGTAGTTTTATTAAATAAAATAAGTAGTACATTTTATTAAAATAATAAAATAAAGACTAAATGTCTAAACAAAATAAAAATTTAAACATTATTAACTAAAAAAAAAACAGGAAAATAAATTTATCATTTATCAAATAATGAAACTAATTATCACATAATAAAGTTACATAATTTTAAAATATGTAACAAGAAAGCAAATATATTATTTAAATGTAAAAAATAATACTACATACTATAGCTTCCAAAAATAATTTCTTTAGTTTTATATATATCAAAACTTAACTCATATATTAAATAAGCAGAAATAAGACAAAACTAATACATATGAAAAGCACAATAACAGAAGAATAAAATTATAGATATAGTCTAATTATATTTCAATGCTAATTTTTGTTATTTATTCTTTCTTAGCTCTTTACTAAAATAATCTAAAATGTTATTCTTCGAACATGGTCAATCCTTTCGGCGGCAATTCTTTTGCCTCGTTACAGAAAATTGATAATTATAATTTATAAATTTTATTTTAGTTGCGCCATTTATTTGATTCGCGCGATGCGAAGTAATCAAACGCTGAAACGCCAGACTAGTACTCAGTGAGAATAAATAATAATTAATTGATATAAATTATACATCAGCACAAAAAAGGTGACAATAGTGACTTATTTTGAACAATAGTGACTTTTAGTGACTTGTCAAAAAAAAAAGTGACAAAAAGTGATTTAAGTGACTGAATGGCAGCGCTGTAATTAAATACGTGTTTATTAACATTTTCATTTTATTATAGCAATTGAATATTTTATTGAGTAATATATATATATATATATATTGCTATAATAAAATAAAAATGTAATAATGTAAACACGAATTTCCTCTAATTGTGGGTTTCTTTTGTACCTATGTATGTTATAAATGAATGAATTAGATATAATTTCAATGCTTTTTTATTATACATATTTTTTATTTAGAAATTCTAATACCTTTTATAGTGAGTTCTGTTCGAAATTATTGGTAAATATCGCCGAGATTAAACGGTTACGTTTTTATTATTATATGAGAATGATGTGTAGTGCATCAGTTACTATGCAACTCCCTTTAGCTTGCGTGTGAAAAAACATAAGGACTAAATCGTTCTTACATTTTTCACACGCAAGCAAATGAAAGTGTAAATTATTTCAATTACTAGGTTTAGAAAAAGGATTCTTTTTTAGCTAACACATATGATGATGTTCTCACATTTATTTTTACTGTGAAAATGATGTATGGTAAATGTAATCGCATATTATTTTCACTTTTTACCCTTACAACCTTAATACATATATTTATCAATTGCTTGTTTTGTGACGCTTTTGTGATACTTGTATGTAATACTTTTATAATTATATTTATATTTATTTAATAAATATCAGTTGCTATATCTTTATGTAATCGATTTAAATCAAATTAATGCTCCAAAACAGAAAATTTATTTTTCTTAATGTGCACTTTATATACCTATTTCAGCGCAATTTTCTTTATTTATTATTAATATAATTAATATAATATTATATATATATAAATATATACAAATATATAATATATATATATATATATATATATATATATATAATTAATATTTATATAATAATAACTGTTTTCTCTTTCTCTCTCTTTCTCCTTTCATGATGTATATACGATATTACAACAACTTAATAATATCTGATTGACAAGCTTCAATTGGATGGCATTAATTACTAGTCGGTATCAAAACAGAGCTGCTGGTTGATCGCTTTCACGTTAAATTTATGCAAATTAGCTACAACTTTCTTTGTGATGGTGTACACTATCAAGTACGGAATAAATTACCACGAAGTAAGACTGTGACAAGCTGGTAAGCTACAATATAAGTGTTGCATCGTTGCTCAAAGTTATATCAAATTATTATAATTATATTTACACTACTTCGAATGATGCGATAACTATACTGCTGGAAGATGTCCTTTTCCACATTTTCCTGCATCGTAAACATTATACTTACATGTATATAAAGAGATGCAGCATACATGCGATATATTTAATAAAATCACATTATCTACATATGTTTTCTATTTAATTGAGAATATTAATAAGAGATTTAAAAAGAAAGAATATTAATAAGAGAGTTAATCGTAATATATCACTATTGCGTTTAATTATCTCTCTCTCATCGTATCCACAAATAAATAGGTAAAGCAAATTAATAATAAGCATTAAAACTTTTACTAGAAACTTATTTATTTTGATCTATTAATATTTATAGATTGGTGTGTATGTGATTTTTCTCTTAAACATCTCTTACAGAGATAAAAATGTTTTGATAATTTTGCTATTGATAGAGACAATGATCTGAGAATGGAATAAAACTGAATAAGAAGGTAAAACACTATGTACATTACAAGGTAATCAGAAAAGATGTATTAATATAATAACACTTGTAAACAAAAGAAAAGTTTATCTTATTAATAATAAATAATCTTTTACATCCATATCAAATTATTTCAGTTTTGAGATAACAATCATCTTTTCAAATAGAAAGCACTACCCAGCTGCTACTATTTCTGCTTCTTTTCATTGTTGCACAGAATAAATTACCGTGAAGTAAGATAGTGACATGCTCGCAAGCTGAAATAAATTTTATTTTAAGATAAACTAGAAATAAAGTTTATTATCAAGGTGGCAATCCAAGTTACCGTAGTAAAATTTTCCAAGGACGCTGAATAAATACCGCCAATGACGAATTTGCAAGAATTCATACTTTTTTGCATCATAAACAGTAATAGTTTTTGTATTTGCACAGGTGCCGTATACCACTGTATATCATATCTAAAATTTTATTATGTTTCATGTACTATACTAGACAAAGAATTCTTTAAACAATTGCGCGTTTAAACAAATAGAAATACAATGTTAAAAATATCCTTGTAAATTTTACAATTCTTCATTTGTCAATACTCGTACCAATTTTCATACAATTAATGATATTTGTAATAAAGTTTCAATGATTTGCAAACAATTTTAATGCAAAATAATAAATTTACATAGTATAGAAATATTATTGAAATTTTTTAACAAATAATTCTTACGTTTTTCTATAAATTCCCATACTATTGTCTATGATTTTCTGTCCCATATAATTGCATACAAACATATAATAAAAATGGCCGATTACAAATATCATGAATGGTGCGAAGTTTTCTCTTTGATCTGACATAACGGTAACTTGAAAAAGCTGAAAAATCAAGAAATTTAACTGGTTTTAACTTAAATTCTTTATAATGCTAATCTGATATTAAAGTAAGTAATACAATGAGAGCAATATAATTAATATACAGTGTACGAATATGAAAATTTATCATTTACTTACGCGAAATAAGTTGATACTCAAGGAAGCTACACCCAGAATAATTAGAATAAAATAAGTGAAAGTAAAAGTAGACGACATGTATTCAAAAAACCTTAAAAATAAAGAAATTAATGTGCATCGCATAGAGAATAATTTTAATAATTTTAATAATTTTAATAGATATTTATGAAACTCTTTATGATAAAATTAATACACATTCACAAATAAATTAAAATTATAAAGATAAAGAAAAAATTGGAGTATTTAGTGACAATAAAATAAAACAATATAATTATATATTTCTAAATTATACAACATATGTACAAATATATATATATATATATATATATATATATATATATATGTGTGTGTGTGTGTGTGTGTGTGTGTAGTAATTAAAAAAGATAAAATCATGCAAACTGAATCGTAAGAGTTTATATTAATTGCGATATTATTTGTATTACAGTAATAATAAGCTAATACTATCGATGTACTAGTTACTAACTGAATGGCTCTCTGATGAATCTCTACAGCATTAATTATTTTCATACGAATTGCATTTTCCCTATTCAATGTAGACAATATAGACATATTCTCATCCAATGCATGTTCTATACGGTAACTATAACAATTGAAAATGTGAAATAGATATAGATGTAATTGCTATAGAATGATTCTTTTTAATCATTTAAGCCCTCATTATACATAATCTGTCTTACCCGGTTATTTCGAACATGCCACAAATATGATAAACATATGCAAAGAATAAAGTCTCCGTGCTTATAACGGTCACAATTCCTACGATAATTGTTGCGTTCACATGTAATAATAGTGGATAAAAATATTTTTGTTGATCGAGAAAATATTCCGTTAAAAACGGAAGTTGCCGTGTACGAGATTCGTTTAGCGGCGCTACGACATCGAGAATATCTGGCAAAAACGGCATTAGAATGAAACCAATAGTACCGGGATAAACTAGGCCTGAAATTATCAAGTATCTCAAATTATATCAAGAACGAGTGAATCATTTATAAATGAAATTTTTTATTCCATATAATTTGTGCACTTTGATCCGATTTCCTATACCCGCAAATGCGTATAGATGTTTCCTTCCAGACTTGGTATATTTTTTTATTATTTCAACTTCCTGCTCATCTTTTAATGCATTCCAATCATTTCGAATTTGTTCCATTAATTCCCGAATCTACTTCAGACATTATAAATATTATCAAAAAAATTCAAATCGCGTCTGTGACAATGAGTTGGTGAATCAATTTCACATGTATGATAATTTATTTAACGTACCTTTTGAGATTGCATGTAAAAGGCAATATATTTTACGAGATAAATCACGGAAGGAATAGTGAACGACAAAATAGTCAACGCAAGTTCAAGATTATATTCCATTGTAAATAGTTTCAATAACTAAAATCAATAAATATATAAATTTTCATGCTGACAAACCCTTTCTTCTTTTATTAAGAGTAGGATGTACGTTTTAATTATAAAGAATTAATCCTTTAAATTTCATTTCTAATCCTTTAAAATTATTAATTTTTAATTTTTGTATAATTTCACTTTATTTTTCAGAAAATCTTTATTCAATATTATTTAAAATATACTGCTAATGCTCGTTTTATATTTGCAACATTTGTTTTTATCCTCATTTTTTGCACTTAAATGGAAAAATTCAAGTGATGTGATAGTGTCAAATAAATATACGAATATAAAAAATATATAAAATATATATAATAAAAGATTCTATATTTCAACAAAATAAAATTCTGATATAAAAAAGAGTAAAAGTTGATTGTTTTAAAAGATTATAGCTTTAAGCTATGGTATATAAATTAAGAATATATTTTATTTAAAGTTATAGAGAAGAAGAGAGGATGTAATTAAATGTTAATTTCATTTATATTTTTACTAAATATAAGCTTTTTTAAATAAATTATTACACACCTGTGTGAGTACTGAAGATATAAGTAAAAAGATACAGAAAGTTGCATGAATTTGTTTAAGAAATGATTTGCCATATGGCCACAAACTAAGCGATAATAAGGAGAGCCGATATAGTTTATAATATGGATATCCCAGAAATTCCATTTTTCTTCAAAGCTTGTCGCACGACTGTCTATAAGACACTCTAGCACCCTTCGTTTCAGCGATATTCAATAGAACTTTTCATTAGGGGCACTATTTTTGAAAAGTTTCCTGGAGTTCAAATATTATCCAATTTCGCTGAATTAATATTCAGCTGTGTAAAGGCGAGAAAAAAAGGTGAGAAAAATAAAGATAATTTTGGAATATAAGAAGAAGAGTCGCCGGTGTGGGCAATTATGTAAATTATGCGATATTTTATTCTATACACCATAAACTTGTATATTAAAGTATTTCTCTCTCTCCGTATTTTCTCCCACTTCACTTGTTGCCTACGCAAGCGCAGTTACCATTCGACTTGATACAATTATTACTTATTGTTAGTATCATTTTGTCTGCCATACAATACATTTCGTGAACTTAAACGTGAGACGCATATAGAGATAGTTCTCTATACAAACATTAATGCTTACAAGATTACAGATATTTAAAAATACCTTCGATTAATATAGCACACGCATTGTGGGAATAGAAAATAAGAATTAAAATGATTGAAACATTTATATTTCATATATAGAAAATAGATTGCGCGAATATATTTCGTGATATCTTGTAATTGTGTGGAATGTTATAAAAACTAAAAATTTTAATCCATATCGTGCGTTATTAGTGATTGAAATTTATTCCTTTGTATCGACTGCGAAGAATTCGTACATTTAGAACGTCATCGTGTTGAGTAAATTACCATAAAGTAAGATAAAGATGTACTCATAGTCTAGAACAAGAAGATTGTTCATAGAGACAATTATATTTTTCTTGAAAATAATGCCAAAAATAATTACCGTGGCAAAACCTTCTAACGATGTGATATAAATACCACCTATGAGTAGCATACAACTTTTCGAACTCCTTTGCATTATAAATAATATCAATTTCTGTACATGCAATGGCATCATGTACCATTTGCAATTATATCTAAAAATATTAATAATGATATACTAATATTATGTACGTATGTCACTCTATTAAGATATAGAGTTATAAACATTACAATAAAGTTTTTACTCTTATAATAATAGATGATAATATATTTTAAGTAATAAAAAAATTGTATGCAATGCAATATATGTACGTAGCATATGCAATGCAATTTTAATAAAATTTTAGTAAAATTTTAAAAAAATTTTAATTTTAGTAAAATTTTATTTTATTTATGTACAATGTAGAATAAACTGGAAATATAGCATGATTCTCAAATCGTGTATTTAATAGTGTATGAATCATAGACATTGATCTCTAGTAACTTACACTTTTGATAAAAAATCGTTACTGTGATCCAATATTTTTTGTCCCAAATAATTAACACAAAAAAAACTCAACAAATGAATAAAAACAATTCCTATAGAAACAAGAGTTTCAATAAGTTCTTCTGTAATTACCATCTAAAAAAGACAAAAAATTTTACATATAGAAAAGATGTTTTGTTATATACGTGTCCGTTTAAATAATACGATCATTACCCATAAAATCTTTATATCGCTTTATACATATATATATAATGTTATTTAAAATTTATGCATTACTAATAAATGATTGTTGTCGCAAAAAGATTTTGTGAAATAAACTTGTGAATTTTACTTACATGACACAGATTAACAACTAAAGATGCCACACCGAGTACAAGTAAAATAAAATACATTATCATAAAAGTATCCTTCATAAACTCAAAAAACCTTTAACAACGAGAAAATATGTTATGTGGATCCCTCGAGGATACATCATTTATAGCTATATATGAAATAAAATGAAGATCACGAGGGATGAGTCGCGAGAAAATTACCACGCAAATTTAAGTTTGATGAAACATATAAATGATATTTAAATCCTGAATTATGCGAAGAGAAACTACCAACTCGATAGCTCGTCTGTGAGTGGTGATGGCACTAATTATTCCGGAGCAAGCTATGCAGCATTTAGTAGAAATCAAATTTTCGTTTTCGTAATCATCGAGAGCATGTTCGATACGATAGCTAAAACAAGATTATTTAACTGGAAGAAGATTCATCACCGAATTCGACATGATTAATGTTACATTGATATTCACAATAAATTTACAAATAATATTCACAAATCGATTATAAAATTCAAAACAATTTTAAAAGCACAATTAATACCTACATATTAATAATAATAAAAATACAAAATAAAATACGAAATGTCTCGAAAATACAGTATTAATAAGTTAATTATTTTTTTAAAGTGAATTTAATCTTAATAAGTAAAATTTCGATCAAAGAACACAATTTTTATTACACGCTTTTAATTTTCAACATTAAATATGTTGTCGTTAAATTTAAATGTTTATTCTTATTAGAGTAAAATTAATAAAATTAATAAAAAGAAACAAGTTATCTGTTTAGTTATATACATATTTCCAGAAAAAGTAACAAATTTTAAATATGTAGAATTTTTTTGCATTAGTTTGTCACTTTTCATATATTTCTTACCTAGCTATTTCAAACATCCCACATATGTGCTGTATGCAGGCTACATGTATAGATGTAGTAGACAGTAATGTAGACAGTAGTATAAAAAAACACACGATCCAATGCAGAAGAATAGGATAAAAATACTCATCACTATCAACAAAATATTCGCATAATATTACCAGTTGATGTGGACGAGATTGATTAAGCGGCTCCAAAAGATCGAGAAAATTTGGTATTAAATGTACGAAGGCGACAAATATCACACTACTATAGATGATCACTGCAATTAATAACCAGAGATTAATATCGTTCGATGTAATAAAGTAAAAAATAAAATAAAATACACACACATTATTTTCTGAAATTACGTTCTTGAAAAATTGTAGTAAGATTTAATACAATAGTTTTTTCGACTACTAACAATAAGATTTATATATACAGGGTGTCCCGCAACGTGATGTCCACAGTAAAACTTTGTATTCTTGGAATCATTCCAAGTCATACACATATACCCTAAAGTCGATCGTTTTAAATAATACTTATCTTATTAAATGTAATTTCGTCTTTTCGTTATAACTTTAAAACAATCGACTTTAGGACATATGTGTATTAAGACTTTTTGACATAGTTTCACTGTGGACATCACGTTGCGGGACACCCTGTATAATATTAAAGTTCATTAACTCTTGTGAAATAACGTAATAGTTTTATCATCTTACATGCAAACATATGTGCATAAAATGTTCCTACAGAAGTGTATCTTAGAATTATTTCATATTCCGTTCTACTTTTTAGCATATTCCAGTCATGTTTTATCATATCGATTAATTTTTGCATCTAAAATTGTATACAATAAAAGTTATATTTCTATATATACAGCAAGATGTAATATAAAAAAAAAACAAAAAAGATTTTTATAATGACATTATTATATTGTTTTATAATACTTAGTTTAACTATTCATTAATGCATGAAGATAAATTTATTCAAAATAAATTAATATAGTTTCTATGTATTATTAATTTCTGTAGCGTATTAATACATTTATAACTTTCTCAGGACCTAACGAATTTGTTAGATTAAAATGTAATATTAAAGAAATATTCGGAATATTTGTAAACGGATGACTTACCGATTCAATTTTTATGCAATATGTAATATACTTTAGAAAGATAATGAAACAAGGAATCAAGCACGATAAAATATGAAGAAAGATATCCAAGTTGTAATCAAATGTGGTAAATGTGAGTAACTGGAAGATTTCCTCGATATAAGATATACATATATATAATCTTACGCAACAGATAAAAGAAAGTAAAATAAAAAAAAAATTATAATATATCACCTGTATGAGTCACTGAATTATTCTTTATCATTAAAAAATAACAATAATATACCTGGACTATTATGCTAGATATAATACAAATTATGCAAAAGAATCTTTGAATTCGAATAGGCCATGTCTTTTGATATGGCCATAATCCAATAGACGATAACATTATTCGATTAAAAACATAATATCGGCTACCTTCGAAGTCCATCTCTGCGACGCAACTGACAATGAGAGCAAATTTTTATCGAGACGCAAAAGAGGAATAAGATAATTGCTGCTCTAGCTAAAACTGTTTTTTATTATGCATGGTATTATTTCAGTGTGACGAAAAAATACGATAATCGCTTATAAAAGAGGATAAAGTAGTAATAATGTGGTAGATTATATTGCCATAGGGTATAGCAATATATAAGATAATAAAATTAATTACTTTTGAAGAATATCGCGTTTTTTTCTTTCTTCACATTATAAAACTTATGCATAATTTTTTTTATATCTATGCAGGAAAGAGCGTGGCGTAAAATATATTTTATTAGTAGACTATATACTTTCGTAACTTCTTATTACTTTTGCCTAATATGCTAACACAAATACTTCGAAATATATGTGAATAAACATCTATGATGTTTTTATCTAATAATAAAAGAATACTTAAATGCTAATTTCAGATATAATTAAAATGTTTATGCGCATATAGCTGTTTTGTATAACAATTAAAAAAATGTTTATAATGTTGTTCAAGATAATGCAATTCAAAAGTTCAAAGTTGAAACAACGTTTTACTCTCTATACAATATTTTCATCATTTTAACTGCTTATTAGTTTATATTTTAATTGAATAACTGAATATTTTGATTCAGTGTGCCAATGTGATATAGTATTATTCAAACTTGCTAAAGTTCGATTTGAAATTAGTTTCCAATAAATAGTGTGAATTTCTGATGTCATCGCTATTGTTTCCTTTCATCACTGACTACATTACATCCCGAGTAAATGTAACATCATAAAGTAAGATACTACTATACTAATAATCTAAAAAATAATTCTGATTATATCGTTTTATATTGCGATACAACAAATATGTTGTAAAGCTGTTACCGAAGCTAAACCTTCCACCGATGCGATTAGTAACTATACCACTAAATATCTTAAATGTATACATCTTTGATCTTTGTAATATAATAGTAAGTAATAATTTTCGAGTACGTAAAGAAGTCGTGTACCACTGCGCTATATCTATATAATTAAATAAAAATCGATATAATTATTTTTGTATTACACGTGCAGGCAAAGTGGCACTTTGTGTGCATGTTTTCTGTGCGAAAAGCGGCCGATTTCCCACGCCGCAAAATGGCGGCGTGCGATCGGCCACCTCGCGCACAGAAAACGCGCACAAAGCCACTTTGCCTGCACTTGTAATACAAAATAGTATGTGTATCACGTGCGGATTGACAATTGTTCACTCATGTGGGGTGGTCGCACTCGCCTTCGGCTTGTGCGTCCATCCCCCGCACTCGTGACCAATTGTCAACTTTCCGCACTTGATACACAATATACTATTATGTATTTTATAACTAATTTTATATTAGTTTTTTATATTTTCCATAGTAACATATTGGAATAACGATATTTTTTATCAATATAAATCTGTAACTAACAATTTTCTATAAATACATCGTTTTTTAAAATCTCAATTAATATTTGTAAGATACGTATTAAGTACAAATACAAGTAAAATATTATTATTTCAAATACAAAAGCTCATTGATTAACATTTAAATTATTATTTAATTAATATTATTTTTCATTTATCAATTTGATTTTATATAATGTTTCTCAAATTTTTGGAACACGATATTTAAATTTCTTCAAAGATATTTTCAACATAATCAATTTACTGTCCAAAATAATTCACCCAAAACGTAGCAGAAATTAGATAAAACATATGCATCCGATGTCACTATGTCACCGAATTACTCTCGATTGCTTGGAACAACTAAAACAAATCGGAAACTGTATTTCACGAACTATACATAAACAGATGCATAAATAGTGTCCAACGCCCATCATGCCTTTCCTCTCATGTGTACCAGTAAAAGTTGAGTGCAAGCACGATTTATGCATTCATTTGTACACTTTAATGTTTTCATATTCAGTAATAATATCCCTACGTAAATTTCAAATTAAAAAATTTGCATAAAATTGTGGTTTAAATCAGCGTCTACCAATATTTATTTTATGATGTGAATTTCTCGATATCTAATGAAATGAAATATAAAGCAACAAATATAAAATAAAAAATACTAACATAGATACTAATTGAGTAATTCGAATAAAATTAAATTGTGTACATATAAAATATTTGACAATTTCCATCGTGCGAGTTATTAACAAAAATTCTAAAATATCATATAATATACAAAAAGCAACATAATTAGAAAATAATCATATATTATTTTGTTACACAACTATAGAAATATTAAATTTGTAATAAAATACGAATTTAATTTATGCAGAAATAAAATATATTCACTGTATATACTTACTACTGATTATATATATTATCAATATAAAACTATTTTTATACTAAATATATATATATATATATATATATATATGTATATATTGTATTAATAATATAATTAATTTACTTTATATTTTTGAACAATTGATCTTTTCTCATAAAAGATATTTTTATAACATCATAAAATAATTATATTGCCTTATTTTGTTATATTTTTATTTTATTGTTTTGTGTGAATGATCAGAGAACTTGGTCACTCATAGTTATTGATAGTACTACTCATATATTTAGATAATTTGGTATCGATAATTACATTATGCTGTCGTGAATACGTATGATTATATATGAGTCGAATATATGACCATAGTATAAGACAATGCCATACTAATAAGCTGAAACAAGAATTTTTTATATTTTTATGTAATAATCCTTATTATAATTAAAATATGTATATGTAGTATCTGCATTTATCTCGTTAAAATGGATACTTTTTAATAAATTTTTTCCATGTTTTTATATTATATAAAATATTGTTTAATATTATATAAAATACTGTTTACATAAAATATTATAGTTTTTTTATTTTATTTGTCAAAAGATTATATCTATTATTTGTTTTTCATAAGGCTATTAAACGAAAAATACACAGAAAAAAAGAAGTGTCAAATAACACACAATTAGATACTCGTATATACGTAAAAAATTGTTTGAATGAAAACATTTTATATGTATAATTCAACCAAGAAAAATATTAATCTTACTTAAGAATAATTTTTTTTGAATAGAAAAGAAAATTGTTGGATAGAAAATAACATTTTCCTATAAAATAATATATTTTATTATTCTTCAAATAACAATATATAATATTGAAATAAGACTGTAATGTTGTTAAAATTTAAGATTTAGCAAATTCTTAAAAGAAAATTATAGATATTTTTGCGTACATACGAGTAAGTAAGTGTTGATTTAACAATACTTTTTTCTGTTTAAATTTTGCAAGAGAAAGAAGAGTAAAAATAATTTTAAAACACAACAAACTAGTCTGCATTATACATTTGTTAATATATATTATTACCGTAGAAAAACCTTCGAACGATGCAATAAATAAACCACCGATAAGAATGTTGGTGGTTTTCCCGCTTCGTTGCAATGTTATGAGTAATAATTTTTGAGCATATAGCGGCGCAGTATACCATGGTGTATCATATCTAAACATACACATTCATATGTTATAGAGATCAACAATTTAAGAAATTAATTAGAAAGAAATCATTCACATGCAATTCTATATTATCTAATAACTACGGTTGGCAGCAGTCGGGAGAAAAATGTATCATTTCTCTATATAAATATCGATTTATAAATTTTTCTATAGAATGTTTAAATATGGGTTTTGTATTATGTATAAAGGTATTTTCTCTTTGCATAAATTTACATGCCGTTTAAGATACACTCACATCTGTTGAAAAAAACATTCACTATGATTAATTAAATCCTGTCCAAAATAATTCAACCAAAAGATATAACAGAAATGAGCGTATACGAATAAACAGGTTAAAATAGCCTCCGATATTTTGTGTGTTGTAACTGCTTGAAGAAGCTGTGATCGATAAATATAATATTACTCGAAGTTATCTATATATAATATTTTAACATATACAGAATACCTTGAAACAGCAAGATGTCTTTCTAATAGCAGATTCATTAATTGAATATATCTTTTTCTAAGTGAAAAAGTCGAAGCATCAACAATTTCTAAATTACAAACATTTGAAAAAAATTGACCAGGGAATCAGCTATTAAAATTTGACGTTATTTTGATTTCAATCTTCGATACTCACGCGAAACATATTAAGAGTTAACGATGCCACACCAAATATACATAACACAAAATAGGATGTGGAAAAATCACATAGTACAGCCTCAATAAAACTTTAAAAGTTAAAATAATTACTTACATTACAATTATTTAACGATAACATACGAATTAAATATAGTGAATATATATATTTAATCTTATTGTTATGTATTATAAAATATTATTTTTTTTTAATCTTATATTTTAGGAGTTTTTGGAAATATTTTATCCTTATATTTTATCCTAAATTACGAAACACACAATTACATATTATAAAATGTAAGAAGCACTTACTTTAAACAATGTTGATGAGTGATAAAGACGTTCAACAGTTTAGTGCAAAGTTTGCACTTAGGTTTTGAGGGTGTCGTTCTTAATAAACATTTATTGAACGCATATGTTAAGCGACAACTAGAATAATATTAATGTTTTTATATTTTAATTTTTATATTTTAAATTATATTTTTTAAATATTAAAAACTTGTAAATTATAATCAATTAAATAAGAAAGTATTATTAATAAATATAAAAAATTGTTAGTACAAAGTTGTGTAATTGAGTCAGGAATTCTTTTCTCTCTTTGTGATAAAAATTGATGTTTATAATGTAAGATTCGTTTAGAAATATTAAAAAATTAAGCGAGATTAGATATATTAAAAATTTTATGGTATCACCTAACGAGTTCGAACAGTCCACAAGTATGTTGCAAAAATATCATATACATAGTTTCTGTCGCCATAAGTACTGTCATACCCAAAAAGGCGGCAAGCATAATTAAGATTGAGATTAAGTAAAAATATTTTTCTGAATCTACAAATAGTTCTAC